AACTAACGTTGGATCAGAATCGTCAATTTGGGTAGATTTGGTAGCTTTACCGCGAATCAGATTATTGGACGACCGTTCTATTTTACCTTCGAAATCCTTGATGCGAGCGACGAGGCTGGCCACCAGCTCCGGGTCGTGTCAGCAACGGAGTTGCATGCGGAGACCCTCCTCGCGGGGAGGGAGATGGGGAGGGCGACGACGTGGAAACTGGCGAAAATGGAGTCCCGATGCGAACAAATCGTGAAATTGTTGACGAAAACTCTTCTCAGAAATTGACTTTGCAGGAAATTGAGGAATTGAAGAGAGAGGCCGGTGGCGCGGGGAAAGACATTGTCGCAAAGCTCTTGGAATCGCACAGCGCAATCGACCAGAAGACTGCATTTTCTCTTGCCAAATACACACTGCGGAAACGCAAGAAGTATCTGAAGCGGTTTACCGTCCTGCCACTGGACGTTGGCCTTCTCGCCAATTACTTGATCGAAGAACGGGATGCGCAAAGGTCCATGGAGCTACGGGATGAACATATCGGTCTCATCGGGTGCTGGGGCAATGTACATCACAGCGGAAACATTGAAGTGGGTGAAGGGATGAAGCCACATGGACGCTACGCCATCGTCGACGAGACTGGCGGACTTGTTGTTGCCGCGATGGCTGAGCGCATGGGAATTTTATATCCGCACGATGCCGATGAAGAGCCCACAGAAGAGCAAGATGCTCCAGCCCACGATGTCGCAGAATCCCAACATACCAATGGCGCCCCAAAGCCCCGGCGCATACGTCCCCAGCCAATGTCCGCTACTACCAACACCATCACCGTTATCCACCCATACTCACAACCGAACTTGTCACTCCTGAAATTCTTTGGCTATGACACCAATAACCCCGATGAATCCCACCCTCTCCACACCCGTCTCAAATCAATCTCCTGGATGCAGTTGGCTGACCCCAATTCCGATCCGCTCTACGCCAACGAACCACCCATCATACCTGCAGAGGAATTGGCTGAACTTAAACAAAGCAAGCGCACTGCGTATTACCACAAGCGCAATCGATGGGCGCGAGTTAAAGCAGTTGTGGATGAGGGACGGGCCGGTAACTTTGATGGTCTGATCGTGTCCACCTTGCTAGAGCCGGCAAGCGTTCTAAAGACAATGGTCCCGCTCCTTGCGGGGTCTGCTCCGGTTGTCGTATATTCTCCGACAGTCGAATCTCTGGTTGAATTGGCAGACATGTACTCCACTGCTCGGAGGACCGCATTTATCAACAAAAAGCGAGAATTGGAGTTGCAGAGTTCCGAAGGAGAGGCTGTCGATTTGACCTCACTCCATGAAGAATTCGTCGTCGATCCGACCATTCTCCTTCCACCGACCTTGCAAACGTCGCGGGTGCGTCCTTGGCAAGTTCTGCCTGGTCGAACCCACCCCCTCATGACTGGACGTGGTGGCGCAGAGGGATATCTCTTCCATGGCATTCGCGTGCTCCCCACCACACAGAATATCCAGGCTGCTGGCAACGTTCGCAAGAGACGGAAGTTGGAAACGACATCTACCCCGATCAGTGATCGAGATGTGGAGATGACGTCCTAGGTTTCACGAATGAATGCCCTAAATGCCCTCAAAATAGATCGAATAGCATTTCAATGTATAACTACTACAACTTCTTAGCTTTGATGTTCTGACTTACCCTCGCTGGCACCCCTTATTTGGGCATACTGGACATCGATTTAGGGCTAGTCTGGGGACGGGTTTAACTCCCAGGTATGCGAGTAGACACACCCAAGCCTCTCTGGTAGTTACGCAAAGCGCTCGATGTGGTGTTGAATCAAGTATCAAATTCATTCGTGCGCTGAATTTCATCAAACAATATACAGCAACGCTCGTCATCTAGAGACTCTTTCCCATGAACTTTCTCTTCGTGAAACTCAGCCAAAACTAGAATTGGTCAGTATTTTGGGTATATTGAGAGTATATTCTTTGCTCCCTCTTACCTTTGATGGCCCGACTCCACCGGGGTATAATCTAGCGTGTAGGCGGATGGCGATCTCCTGTCGCACCTGCGAAATGTACCTAGAATCGCAAGAACCAGTTAGCCAAAAATGCAGTGCAACTTATAGAAGCGAAAATCTCACTGGCGAAGAGTCTCGGCATCCTGGCGGTCACGCGGGGGCTCAAAGGCCTGGTTAAGCGGGAACGACACGTCACCGGGAATAGCAAAGTTGTCGAGGGCGGCGTTGGTCAGGGCCTGGAAATACAATTGTCAATGATATAGTTCTGCTATACCGGGGCTTTGACAAGGAGCATCAAAATTTACCTTCTCCGCATCACGGGCAGTCATAGTTGGCTTGACCTTTCCTAGGCAGTCGCTAATAAACAGAGTTCCATAAATGAGCATGCGATCCGCGGGGCCGTTGATCTCAAAGTTGCGGAACAAGACATTGGCACGGAAGAGCGATAGGATTTCATCGACGCAATCATATGATTCACTTTCTGGCGACACATCGAGGTCGTCGGTGTTGGGAAGCGGGGGCAATGTGTATGCGGGGCCGCGAGTACGGGTTCGGAGGGGAAGAATAGGGAAATTTCCTAGTTGGAGACGTTCTATGGTCAATTTGGGTCCTTGACATGTTCGATACATAGCTCAGGAACTCCTGCGCTAGGCTTGATAGGAGTTGTACCTATCACGGGGACATCGCGGTCCTCCAGGAAGATGGAGTGGTATGCCTGCATTGAGGGTTAATAACAGACTTCGCACACATATGAAGGGATCAAAAACATACAGGCATCTTGAATGCGTCAAATAATCAAATTGGGAGGAAGTTCAATCTAAGAGACCGGGGGGATAAGTTGACCCGTTGGAGGTTAGGCAGTTGAGGGATGTCATCTGTGGAGTCCCCCAAAGCTCCATGATTTTCCGCCCCGAGCCTCTTTACGCGCTCTACGCGTCAAACCATTTGGACACACTTTTTTCACGATTTACCTACTTTTCGTGACTTGGGCTGTTGGTATTGACTATTTACCTCAACTCAGGAGTCATTCACTATGTCGGACTACGATGAAATGGACGTGGATGCGCCCAAGGACCTGCAATTTAGCTCCGACAACGCCAGTGGGAAAAAGAGGACTGTCGCTGATCTGCCTGTCGAAGCTCAAGATAATTTGCCGTGGTGAGTTTGAGAACGGTGTCAATTCGTGTGCTACAACTAACAAACTTGTCAGGGTTGAGAAATATCGACCAAGCAGCCTAGACGATGTCTCTGGCCATCAAGACATTCTCGCGACTATCAACCGGTTCGTGGAGACAAATGTAACGAATGCCTATGACAGTGGATGTCACGACAGCCTTGGGTTAACATTCTCATACAGCGACTACCCCATCTCCTCCTCTACGGACCTCCGGGAACCGGAAAGACCTCTACCATCCTGGCCCTGGCGCGGCGGATCTACGGTAACAAAAACATGCGGCAAATGGTGTTAGAGCTGAATGCAAGTGATGATCGTGGTATTGATGTTGTTCGAGAACAAATCAAGACCTTTGCAAGTTCGTGCCCTAGGAGCCTCGAGTTGAACCACCGGCTTACCGTGAACACCAACAGGCACCAAACAAATCTTCAACATGGCCCCCCAAGGCACTGCCGGCTCCCCTCTGGCAGGTTTCAAACTTATTATTCTGGACGAAGCCGATGCGATGACTTCGACCGCACAAATGGCGCTCCGTCGTATCATGGAGCGCTACACGGCCAATACCCGATTCTGCGTCATTGCCAACTACACACATAAGCTGTCCCCGGCACTCCTGTCCCGGTGTACCCGGTTCCGGTTTAGTCCATTGAAGGAGGTTGATATTCGGACCTTGGTCGACCAAGTGATTGAGAAGGAGGGTGTCAAAATACAGCCCGATGCCGTGGATAGTCTAGTGACCCTGAGCAAAGGTGATATGCGACGAGCCCTAAACGTGCTTCAGGCATGCTTTGCCAGCAGTAAGTTCTTATCCTTCTCTCTGCTCGCATCCAGCCCCATTGACCAATGTTATCTTTGTTTTAGGTATCCCGCTGCCGATGAGAGATGCTCCTAAAGCCCCTCGTCCTGAGCCCGAGACTGTTACCAATGCGACGATTTACGACTGCATTGCCGCCCCGCACCCGTCCGATATTCAAGAAATCATGACTACCATCCTATCCACCAGCGATGTCACTTCCTGTCTGAACACCGTGCAAACCCTCAAGACCACCAAAGGTCTAGCTTTGGCCGACATCCTCTCCGCACTAGCAGACCAACTCCAACAGCTTGAAGTCCCCGCCCAAACACGTATCACCTGGCTCGAAGGACTGGCTGAGATTGAATGGCGACTTGCAGGGGGCGGTTCAGAAGCTATTCAGACTGGAGGGCTCGTTGGCGTAGTGCGAAATGGATGTGAGTTAATGGGTGACAAGGGTGTTACGGTGGCATAAATGACAAGCGACACGATCCAAATATTCTCTGGGTTTTTTTTCTTCTCTGGTTTTTCATGTCATATAAAATGTAGCAATCTGGGTAGGCTGGAGTCTGGAGGCGAGAATTTCTCATATTTTCGAAGACCTAACGACAAGTATACATATGTAGTAGACAGTTCTATTACTTTTTATTATTTGTTATCGTCAATTCATCCTACATGCATGTATGCAGGTATGTAGTAGTATGTATGTAACTCCGCTATCCTCCGCTATCGCAGGTCTCCGGCTGACCGCGGAGATGGTTTTCAATTAGCTAATTTGTGGACTTCGGACTTGCTGCAATTTGTCGTTGGGCCAATTGACTTGATCGTATTCTCGACACTAAACTATTCTCAGAACTTATACTTATCAGTTTTTCCCCCGCTCTCAAGCCTAGAAGCTTAAAGGTTTGATCGGAAGAGTCAATGGGTCTTGCCCGCAACAATCTTGACGTTGACTTAAAACTACATAAGGGTTGTACTTCCGGTGATTTTATTGCTTGAATTTCTTTTCTCTGTTTCCTTATTTCACCATGCGGTACTCTATCCAATCTGGCATTTTGCTGGCTGCAACTTTGTCTCCTGTTGTGGATGCCGAGCGTGTGTTGGGTGCGTATATCTTCGCCCGCCATGGAGATCGCACCGCAAAAGTGTTCGGTAACACCCAATTGACCGACCTGGGTTACCGGGAGGTCTTTGATTCGGGATCTTTTTACAACCAGCGATACATCTCGTCGGACTCTTCCAAGCAGATTGAGGGCATTAGTGCCGATGTTGTCAACCCAAAGCAGATCAGTGCCTCTGCTCCCTCGGATGCCGTACTGCAGAACTCCGCCACTGGCTTCCTGCAGGGCGTATACCCTCCGTGGGGAAAGTAGCTTCCCAGACCCTGGGCAATGGAAGCTCGGTCGAAGCACCATTGAACGGCTACCAGCTCATTCAGCTGGCACCTGCCACTACAAGCAAGAACGCCGAGGATTCCACCTGGCTGCAGGGTTCCAGTGGATGCCAGAAGGCAACCCTAAGCAGTAACAACTACTTTTCTTCCGAAATGTACACCTCGCTGCTGTCCTCGACAAAGGACTTCTACCAATCTCTTTCCCCTATGCTAGATGGCACATTTGCCTCGTCTGACATGACCTTCAAGAACGCCTATACCATCTTCGACTACTTGAACGTCGGCAAAATCCATAACTCTACCAGTCAATTCCCTCACAAGTCAGACCTGACCGATGAGGTATACCACCAGCTGCTTGCTCTAGCTGGTACCCATCAATTCAACCTGGCTTATAACGCCTCCGATAAAGTGCGCGCCATCGACGGTGCTGTCCTGGCAGGCGAAATCTTGGCCGGACTCAACGAGACCATCGCTACCAAGGGCGAGACCAAGCTGAACATCGGATTCGGCTCTTATGGCACCATGTTCTCTCTCTTCGGTCTTTTGCAGATGCCTGCTGCATCGATCGACTTCACTGGAATCCCGGACTACGCCTCGTCAATGGTCTTTGAACTGGTGACAAACGCCAGCGGCACCGACTTCCCAACTGACAAGTCCGACATCAGCGTGCGCTTCATGTTCCACAATGGTACTATCACGGGCTCATCTGAGCCTACTGTATACGCCCTGTACGGCCAGCCAAGCAAGCTTCTCTCCTGGGACGAGTTTTCCTCGAAGACCAAAGAGATTGCTGTTACTTCCGATGACGAGTGGTGTGCCGTGTGCGGCAACACAGACGGCAAGTGCGCTAGTTCGGACAGTACCAGCGGCGACTCCAGCTCTGCTAGCACCTCTAGCACTAATGGCTCGGGAATGTCACTCGCCGTGGCAGGTGTCATTGGTGCCATGGTTACCCTCGCAGTGATTCTTGGTCTGCAGGCTATATTCTTCCTGCTTGGTGGATTCCGCATCGCAAAGCGGAACAAGGCTCTCTCTGAAATGAGCTCGTCTGATGTTATGGAGGATAAAAAGGTTTAGATTATTTGGTTTTTCCAATCGGATCAGAGAAATGGGGGGATCCTGAGTCTGTGACTTGCTCTTGGTAGGATTTACAATGCGTAATGAATTTACAAAAAATGGAAATGCCATAATAATTTGAATCTGATTTTGAACTATACAACCTTCCAAGGTTGAATTCAATATGACAACTGGGAGGCTTAATTAGTATGCATGCTTCGATCCAATTTGTCTCAATTTTCAGGCTAGGTCCCTGTCCAAGCCAAAGAGCATAATAATAGCTTCAATAACATCTCTTCATCCAACTTGAAAACATCACATCTATGCTCCAAGCTTGTATATCAAAAGTGACCATCCCGCAGATTCACCGCCCTGAGTCAACAACTCGAAACTCCACCAACTTCTCTTCTTCTCTCTTCTCTTCTCAACAGAATGCCTCGCCAACAAATCAATTTGGAACCTTACCGGGATGAAATCATTGCTCTGTACCACCATGGCATCAGTAGCGACTCTATCAGCCGCACCCTCGAAAGCGGTCATAATATCCAAGTCAAGGAGCGAACCATTCAGTCCCGCCTTCGCAAGTGGGGTATCCGCAAGCGACACCAGACGACAACAGGCGATGAGGCATTGCATGCGCGCATTAAGATCCTTTTCATACAGGATAGGCTGACCGATAAGGCCATGCTCAACATGTTGCAGAAAGAAGGTTACGGTATCTCCGAACGCACTTTGCGTCGTCTGCGGTTTAAGTTAGGACTTCATGCCAGGGCTTCGGATCAGGAGCAGCACCAGGACCAAGGCCATATGGAGAAACAGATGATTGCTCCGCAGCCCCTGGCAGAGGGACAACCGGTGTGAATTTGACTTGGCACTGAAGCTTGAGCTTGCGCTGGGTTCCCCATCAAGCAAAACCCCATGCACGACAAATCATGGTGATTATCAGTAATCACTCCCTACGCGACAACACTGGACTACTCCCCATGCGACTCATCTGCGGCTTTTCATACCTCGATCTTTATCAACACTGCGACAGTGATGATCTCAAGACTCCATTTGGTTGGGCCGTTTCCAGCCGACATGCGCTTCCAAGATGTCCTGTCGATTGCTTAACCAAGTCTCGATTTTGCACCCGACAAATCTTTCTTCAATGCCAAATATCCCCTCTCAAAACGAGATCTCGCACTGATGATCTGGTGAGTCGGGGAGTAAATCTTCCTTGGATCATTCCACCACCTACCACCATCCACTGCCACCAAATGTCAAGACTGATAAAAGTCTTCAGCATGTGCCCGAGATACCCACCGGAAAGCCTCTTAGTCCCCGCTGCTATTGACCACTCCCAAATGCGACAAGTCTCAATCTCATGTTGCCTGGCTAGGTAGTCATAGGTGCTTTGGGTCTCATTCCGACACTGCGGGAAATATGCAAAATATGTCATGTAGTGTTGAATTGAAACGAAATAATGTCCACTCCTTTCTCAGTTAATTTTATCCTGAACAAAATGTCCTTGGTCAAGTAAATAAGGGCTAGGTCGGCGTCACGTGCCATGACGTTCGTTCGAGCTTTTGATCGGAGAAACCAACCCATTGAATCGCAACACTCAAGAGGGGTGTCCATATCCCCGAGTAAAACTTCAAATCCTCTTCCCACCCCACTTGTGGCACGCACCGTAAGCCGGTAGCTTACTTGCCCATCATGTCCACCCAATACGCCAGCGAGCCCAATCCCACTGCGTCGGCGACGCTCAACACGACGGTTGGCCCTATCCAAATCGCGCTCTTCGCAAACCAGGCCCCTCTCACCTGCAAAAATTTCCTCCAGCACTGCAAGGACAACTACTATGTCGACACAATCTTCCATCGGGTGGCCCCCGATTTTGTGGTCCAGGGCGGTGATCCCACCGGCACTGGCTCCGGCGGAACTTCTATCTATGAATATCCGGAATTCGAATTTGACCCTGAAGCTCGGGACCCGAACGAGCGAGTCGTTTTACGTGATGAGCTCCACAGTCGGTTACGTTTCAATCGACGCGGCTTGCTGGGAATGGCCAAGAGTGAGGACGGGACATACGGCAGTCAATTTTTCATCACACTAGCGAACACGGAGCGTGAGTTGAATGGACAATGTACAATTTTCGGAAGACTGGAAGGGGACAGCATCTACAATGTGTTGAAGATCGCAGACGCAGAGCGCATCCCGGGTACTGAGCGTCCTGTTTATCCGATCAAGGTGACATCCTGCGAGGTTGGGGAACTGGGGCCATTGGAGGGCAAATTAAAGGACCGAAAGACGGTCACAACAGCCGGGAAGGCAGAGAAGGGCGCGCCCAAGAAAAAGAAGAAGGCGCCTAAAGGTGGGAAGACGCTTCTGAGCTTTGGAGATGAGGCAGACGAAGAAATGCCCATGCGCCCAGCGAAGCCGAAATTCAACACCAATTTGGTCGTGGATGCGCCAGGTGCAAAGGCCGAAGTATCAAAACCCAAACCCGGAGCAGAAGCCCCGTCACAGCCGCGCAAGCGGCCCCGGTCGCCATCTCTAGAACGATCGCCGTCTACAGAGCGTAAAAAGCGCCCGAAGACACCAGAGCCAGAAGCACAACTCCCACTTCCTCACCCTGAGTCGCCTACTCGGTCTCCGACTCCGGACGCCCCGCCCGCAAAGGAGTCCAAGCTGTCGCGGACAAATGCTCAGATTGCCGCTCTGATGGCATCAATGCGCCGCGACGTCGACGTCGGTCCTAAGGACACAGGTCGAAAGAAATCTGCCCTGGAAGCCATGATCCCCGAGACCTCCATCCGAGGACGGAAACGGCCACCTCCAGGAACTGCAAATGGCTCCAGTCGCAACGGGACAGGGCCTAGTAGCGCGGCTGAGCGAGAAGCATTACAGCTCTTCAACGCCTTCAAAGCCAAACTCGAAGGAGCTAAACCCGAACCGACTGCCACATCATCACATAGCAAGAGTCATAAAGACACCGAAAACCAAAAGGAAGACGAAGAAGACGAAGAGGCCCAACTCTGCGATCTGCACTTCATTGCAAACTGCCAATCCTGCCAGGCATGGGACGATCCCAAGACAGAGGCGGACGACACCGAAGAGCAAGATGGAGGTTGGCTCTCGCATGAACTCCGCTTTGGGGAAGATACCCTAGGCAAGGACTTGAACTGGAAACGCGAGCACGGAGGTGATGCAGACTCACTTATGGTGATTGATCCTCGTGAACGAGAGAAGGAGGTGGTCGGCCGAAAGCGGGGATTACAGCGTGATAGAGAGCGCGAGCGTAAACGGGAACGAGTGGGTGACTTGGAATGGGATAAGGGGCGCTAAATGTTCTTATTATAAAATGGCAATTCTTTCCATCCTAGCCTATCGATTTTCCCGTCCAGTATATACGCGATCCTAACTTGTCCGATGTTTTTAGCCAGACGCTACTTCATACATACATGTATGTACCTGTAGAGATAAAGCGCCGGTATCTTACAAATGTCATTTCCAGAGGCTGCTAGGATTGGGGGTCAACTATCACACCTTCAATGTGATCAAGTATACCTGAACAACATCTGTTGAACTGCTGAGATTATATGAGGATGAGATTACAGTTTCCCCAGGCTTTAGCATTTTCAGTCGATTTGCCCACCTTTGTCTCTATAGCTAATATAACTCCCAGGTAGATTTCGGATCTCGGGTGATCTACGAGTAACCGTGGACTCTGGTATCCACTTGACCTGAGACAGTTGCGTCAGTTTGATACACAGATATACTCCTGATCTGCAGTAGACGGTAGAGTAATACCAAGGAACTGTAGTTACTGTATTATGTCCTCAAAGATCAGTAGGTTAATGCGTCGACAATGGATTCAAAATCATGCTACAAGAAAAGAAGGTAAAGCAAAGGTATCTCATTAAAGCTCCAGGAATTGGATCATTCATGGATCATCATAGGTTTTTACAGCCTGGTCACATTTTTCCCAGGCACATGAATAAACCCCCATATCAACAGGGAAAACGCCTAATTGTACGCCGAAAATTTTTGTCTCCAAGCACTAACCCGTGCTCGAGAATCTGCTCCATCTGGTATTCCTTGCCCCATTCACGCCTTTCGGCGCCGTTTCGTCGCGCTGCCACCATCATTTACAGCTTCGCCTGCATTCTCCGTGGCTGCAGGACTGGTGGTTTCGCTATCCGTCAGTTGCTCGATCACACGCCCTGATTCATCGTAGCCGGCACCGTCAAAGCCGTAGTTGTAGGTCGAATCGCCCTGCCCATTATTGGGGGTTTCGAAGAGCTCAGGCTCCGCGGGGATGTGATCGAAATCGAACAAGTCGTTGGTGTCTCCGTCATCGCCTTGGGTGGCCCCCACAGGATCTTGCGTGTTCTGGCCTGTCCCCAAGTGGCTCAGTGGATTCTCGGCCTGTTTCTTCATATCGGAACCTGCGTCTCCAATGTCGGTGAAGTAGTCGTTGTTAAAGATTTGGTCGAGGTCAAGCGGCGGAGGAGGTACATTGCCCTCACTGTCGATACCGGGGATGGTGCCATTCGGGCTCAACGGCTGGAGAAGACTAGTCAAGTTCTGGACGGAACGATCCTGCTCGGCTTGCATCTTGACTAGGTTGTCGATTTCTTGTCGTGTGCTAGCTAGCCTGCCCGAGTAGTTGTGCGGCATGGGCGGTGGATTCGGCGAGATGAGCGCATTGTTAGGGGACACGCCAGCGTTGGGTTCTGATGAGTTTGTTTCGTTGGCCATGAGTCGAAGCATATCGGCGCGTTGGTTTGCCGTGAGGGGAACATTACCACCATGATTTTCGAGGAGGAGAGCACATTGGGGAACTCGGAAAAGTTCGTTGAGAGCCCGTTGCGTGCATTGGAGTTTTGGATTACAGACATAATGTCCCGTTGAGGAGAGTTCTCGTCTGTCGGCTGTCCCGAAGTAACGTTCGGAGCACTTGGTCGGGGACTGTGGTCAAAGACCTCCTCCACATGGCCGTGCTGATTGGCGCTGGGTTGCCGAGTATGGCCCCGAGACCGCGTGTCATAGGAGCCACTGGCTGACGGTGAAATTGTGGAGGACCGGGCATACGCATCCGCTGCGGGCGGAGCCTTCAAAAGCAGCGGCGGCTTCTTCATTGTTCTTTGGGAACTGGGGCTAGTCATTGATCCTAGAGCATTGGTAAGATAGTCATCATCAACATCCACAATGTTTCCTTGGTCCTGCGAAATGGCTCCTGCGAAAGAATTTGCGAGGTTTTGTGGCCCACCCTCTCCCTGCAAACTTCGGTTATATACGGTTGCAAGGAATGTTAGAATGGCATTGATGGAGTTCTCATGGCGGGTGTGTTGCTCCTGGAAATTGGCTGCCTGCGCATAGAGTTGCTCGTGTTCTTTCCGCAGCCTGGTGATTGTGGTTGAGATGATTGACTGCTGTTGACGAATCGCCTGGAGTTCGCGATATACCCCAGCAAGTTGATCGTTGGGTACAGAGCTGTCCGTGACTAATGACAATTGCTGTGGCCGGGGAGCACGGTTATCGCGAGCAGCCGGTGCACCCTCTTCAGCATAATCGTCCATGTCATTATCATCAATATCCTCCGTCTTCACGCGCGCGGCGCCCTTGCTAGGTTTGCTCGCATGTCCACCGCCTCCGGTGTTCTTTGGCTTCTGAATGAGCCATAGCAAATCCGGGTGGCCTCGTTTGAAATAAGGGTTGGCGTATTCGCTAGGACTCTTGTTTTTCCGTTCGCTGGCGCGCATTGAATTATCGGAAAGTCCGACTTTCTTGTGGAAGCCGTACATGTTCAGCTGTCGGACGAATGAGGCGTAGTTATTGTGTTTGAAGAGCTCGGGAATCAAGGTTCTCGCAAACTCATCCTCGTCTAGGACGACGAAGGAATTGCCATCGTCCGACCATCGAATCAATTCCGTATTCTTGGATTCGTCCAAGAAGCTGCGGTTCCCAGTTAGACCTACAATTGATCACAAATCGATAGATGTATCATACCTGCTCAATTTCTGTACAAATGGCGGGATTTGCTTTCGTTTTGCCTGTGAATCTCTTTTCGCAGTCAAGGCTCGCCGGTAGAGCTCCTCGAGAGACTCCCCCCCATGCCCCGCTCTCTCCACTTCCATTGTTTCCTCCGTTTTCCACATATGAAGCAGGAGGTTGGTCGTAGCCACGGTTCCGGCTGACCACCTGGTTCGCTTGTCGGCGGGCGAGTTGGTTAGATGCTGTCGCAGCCGGTGCGGACACATCTTGGGGTGGCGCAAAGCCCACAGGGTTGTAGGATGAATCGGAGAAGGCGGAGGTATTGATGGCATTGACGGGGGGGGGTTCTGGCCCCATTGTAAGAATTGATCGTTCGAGAGCTGAGATCCGGGGTTTGCAGTGGGCGGAAAGTTCGGTACAGGGTTCATCTGAGGATGAACGGGGGGTACTGTTCCCGGTGCAGGTCTCTTGCGAGTTATTCCTTGCGAGCTCATCGTGAATAGATTGACGTAAAGACGTCGAGTTTGAATCCTATCGCGGTGGGGTTCGATGTAGAATTGTATCCCGATTTTCTCTGGTCCCTGGATAGGAGACTGAGTTGACCGCAGGAATTTTGCCTAGGAGACAAAGGAACCGGATGCGAACTCAGTATGCAGGAAGTTGTTCATCCAAGTCGCTGTCCAATTTTGAGTCGAGAAGGCTTTGATCACAGAATCGAGAGAAGAAAAAAGTGGAAGACACTGGTCAGGGTTGCGGAATCTGTATCGACGCTGAAGTAGACACAATATCACAGGAATCGATAACAGGCAAATCAAGGACCAGCAGTGGTCAATACTAGGCAGATGACGCTCAATGGGCGCGTGAATTGTCCAACATCCAGGTCAAGGCGGGAGGGTCCAGCAGAAAGCGCCCACTGGGCGGTGAATGAATCAAATATGCCAACCTTGGAGGTATTATGTCTAGAGGCACCAATATTGGAAAAACCTGGGGACAATCAAACGAATATACTAAACTGTCAATAAGATGAATATGAACATGCTACTCGGCGGCGAGACCAAGTTGCCCCATTCCGGGGGAGGCGTTGACTGAGTCAGCAAGATGTTGGCCCCGGAGGTGGTGACGAGTACAAGTACCTCATATTACCATGTGATCACGCGTGTCTATCAAGTATCAGTACTTACAGATGAACTGGTCGTTATATCTCGTTATATCGACTGTTTCAGCTTTGATCGTATAATTTACAATGGCAATGTCAATACACCGTTTTCATTGTTTATATCCTCTCGATTAACTAGCTGAATTTTTGCCCACTACCATTAAGCAGCACAACAAGACTGTCCCCACAGCTTGCTCGAGATTCTACATAGAACTAGACTCGCCTATCAAACCCCGAAACTCCGTCAGAATCTGTTGCCATAAGTCAGGTTGCTTCTGCGTGAAATCCTCGACCTGCTTAGGAGCAGCCAAGTCTTCTTTCATGCGCGACTCGTTCTTGGTTCCATTCAGCACCGCCACATCCTTCAAGCCCATCACTAGAGTATAAAAAGCAGCAGCCGGGGTTATTTTCACATGGCGAGCAAGCTGTTGCACTGGTTGAGATCGTACGAGGTCTGGATTCGCTGTCAAAGTCCAAAAGCTTTGGTATATGATCTGATTCTCGCGGCAGAACGCGCGCAGGGGTACATCAAACAAAGTATCCTCGTAGAATCTGTTCTGTACCACTGATGGCTTCACGGTTGTATGGGACGACGTGCACAGTTCTCTGAGTATAGGCAATGTACAATTGGAGATACCTAAATTCCGGATGCGGTGGGGAACATAAGTCTCAAGGGCGTGCCAGGCCTCCAGGGTCTGGGCTAAAGTCGACAGTGGCGAATGGATGATCACGGTGTCAATGTAGGCATCATCCACGGAGTCGGGGTCAACTTTGGAGCGAAGATTGTGCAATGATGATTTGATAGAGGCATGGACCTGATCCGTCACCGTTGCTGACGGATCATAGGGCATATTGGCCGGGTCCTGTGCCGAGACGGGACTATACTTGGTTTGCACCTAATCATTGTTAGCTGCCGGATCCCCTAAAAAATAATACATCTCAATTAAAAATAGTAACTGCCCACTCACATATAGGTCTGCTCGGCCAACGATTCCATCGGCAATTGCTCTGCGGATGCCATCACCAACGAGGTTCTCTTGGTAGTGGCGGGGTTGGGCCGCTGTGTCCACAGCCCGGAAACCAGCTTTGATTGCAGTGTAGACTAGATCAGCGCTGCGGTCTTTCTTCCAGGCTGTGCCGTAGACGAAAACGGGGATAGAGGTGGAGATAGTGCCCTGAGTTGGACGTAGGCAGTACTTTTCCCACATCTTGCAGTCCGATTCATCTATGTTTAGAGACGGAGAAGAGGGTTTGTAATTGAATTTGATTGGAATCAGAGCAGAAGTAACTGGTACGTTCAGATGACGTTATGCGGGGGGTCACTTCGATGCTTTCTTACTAAGTGGAAGCCCTGCCCGCGGGCACCTGATCTGCGTTGAATATGGGCTTGCAACATAATATTTCGACAATATACTAAGACTATAATAGCTCCATTAGTCCGTAGTTTTACTAAAAATATCGTAAAAATATCGGTAGTCGCGTGTAGTCGCGTTAGTCTGGACTACAACATAGCCGTTTACCAGGTCACTTTGGATGTAAACAATATAAAATCATGATCATCGAATGATATTCGGATAGAGTATCGACAAGCATTGATTGAAAAACTTTAACAATCCTGAAGCCTGGAGATTAGACCATTTACATAACATTTATGGCTATATACCCCAGGGCTATCTATATATAGCAGAATGGTGGACCGGTTGAGCTCGGCTATCGGCAACCCGCATGGGCTTCCGTCACTTGTGTCAACATAATTTTCATTCTCGAGCTCAGAGTTGTGGATGGAGTACTCCAACTACAAAGAATGTTAGCCTATGGTCAAGGCTGCAGAATTTCCCTGAATGTTATGCACCGATTGGCCCCACAGCGTGGCTTAGACATTGGGACTTGGAAAAAGGATCTCCGGGGTAGAAAAAGACCCTTGCTTGGCAAAGAGGGATATGGAGTGCTACGGAGTAAAGAATAATCACAGGTCAAGCTCTGTTCAGGGATATAGCATAGCCACGGTGCCTGCATATTGATAGAGAAATATACAACATACAATATGCAGAACACAACAGCCCAAATGCACGATATTAATAGCACTATCTCGTTGGTATTGCCATTTAGTCTCTTGGCACAAGTCTTGGCTGATGGAATAAACCAGGCAGCTGCTTTTGCACAATCAACATTGGTGGTATTCCGCTGATCAGTGCATCTGAGTTGTATTATTTGATGTGGTTGACAAGGGTGGACACTTTGAGGGTCCATGTTCTATTTCGGAAGACTATGCGCGGGGAATGCCGACAAAGAAGATCATCTCTTCCGTATAGAGCGAAAAAGCAACTACCTAGTTGGAATGGGCTAAGCGAAGGGAGAGGTATACCAACTTCAACATAAATATGTCTTGAATCCCCATTTGATTTCGATCAGAAACAAGAACACTATCAATTTCCTCTACACTCTACAATCATCAACATCAACATCAACAATCAGCAATCATGCGTACTCAGCAGCTCCTCCCTCTTTGTGGCCTCCTGCTTGCCAGCATTGCTATCGCATCCAAATTGGACCATGACGATGTCCCCAATCGCTGCTGGCCTGCCTGCGGCCCAGTCGTTGGAATCGCCAATAGTTGCGATGCCCAACACGAACGGGATTCGGCTGAGATCCAATGCATTTGCGATTGGGACGCTGCCAAAACTCAGATCCCGCTCTGCGCCGCCTGCATCACCCAGTATCAGACCGACAGGCGCAACCACAACATTACCCATCACGACCATGACGACGACGATGATGATCATGATCATGATTATGACAATGACAATGACAACGACATTGACGACGATGATAACGGTATGTATAACGTGAATACATCAAGATGCAAAATAAATCTAATGCATTGACCAGAGGCGCTGGACCTTGTCCGCTACTGCACGCTCAGCACAACTACCTACAACTCTGCCGCTGCCACTACTGTGAGCACAACTACTAGCACTGCTGGTGCGAACACCGCCACCACCACGGACTCTTCGAACGCAGCCACCGGAACGGACTCTGCTGGCACCGGCGGAACTAACAGCCAGGACTCAACTGATTCTGCTGGTGCCTCGGCGGGATCTGCGTCCTCCCCACCCCTACTCCTGATGCCGCAGCTGGTATTTTGGCCCCTGGTGCTGCATCCATGGCAGGTGTCATGGGGCTGGTGGCTTTGGCTTGGCTGTGAGATTCAACAGGGTCGGATCTCTAGATCTCTACCAGAGATAGAGCGAGTGAATATATACGATGGTTTTATGAGTATGTCCAATGTTTGCCATTAGGTCTGCAGATGATATCGACGAGTTATGTCCATTTTGAGATAGTCTATAGTGTATGCAATTGACAATATCGTTCTTTTGGAAAAGACTCGAGCGAGAGGAAGGATAGTTATGGTCGACCTTGGGAGTATTCTCGAAGGTTTACTAAAGCAGAAAGTGAAATAATATACACAGAAGTAAGATGCAATCACATTGAACATTAACGCATGTCTAGGTATTAGTACATCCCAAAGGTTCTATATAATTCAGATAAATACAGTCATACCTCATCCACAGCCGTTTCATGCGCATGTGTCACACGAACAGGTGTTTCCTTCACAGGTGTTTCATATACAGGCGTTTCGTCCACAGGCGTACCGTCCACAGGTGTTTCATCATACCAATTGTCCCAAAGGTCATCAAAGAAATCCATAGGTGGCTCCTCATAATCCATAGCGTATACATCCTTGTAACACTGTGCCTTTGTAGGACAACTATTCGCACTCGAGGGTTAGCATCGACTCCTTAGACTTTCTTTTCTTCTTGGCGTTATAACTTACGACACGGGATCCTGTCCGAAAATAATGTGCCATATGTATTCAAAGACACGACCACTCGTCTCGTCATCCAATTCGGTTGTCATAAGCCAATGATGATATGACTCGTAGTCACTCCGCGGGCGTTGGAGAACCTGCTGCCTGGTTACAGCGAACTGCGCACAGCAAGGCGTAGCAACAATCTCAGGCACATCGGTGTTGTTAAAAATACGAATCCAAGCACCTGCAAAGGCAAGCTCCGTAGTGCGACCAGCCATTTGCCGGAATGGCTGGACTTCATCGGGACATCCGGGATCCCAGTCGCAGCGGAGATTGAGATATCCAACTTGTCGGAGGTAGTCGAGCTGCAGTCTCTGGACGGTCAATACATTGTCCTGCTCCCAGAATTCGACATGCCCGCTATATTGATGGGCGTGGAGGAAGACCATGTATTCGGGCAATTTGTCATAGTTGTCTAGAATGTATTGCAAGTAGGCACTGCTTTCTTTGCCTTTGTTTTGTTCCACTTGCAAGGATGCCCTGGGGTCATCGACCATGTAGACTGCGTGTTGCCATCTAGAATTCGAGTTCTGGGGTTAGCATTGGCACAGCTTGAGAATGATTAGTGGTCGGTTTATAAGGACATACTCTGGCAGATGATCCTCAAGCCAATTAGTGTCTTCGTACGACATTTTCCCCACAATAATTGCGCGATCCGATTTGGGCGTGACCTTTGGACGAGAAGGAGCAGTGGACGAAGGTGCCGCCACATCACCCTGCTCTACTGGAGCGAGTAGTTGCACATTGTCAACTAAGCCCCTCATTGAATCATGAAAATTGGGCGCTTCTCTAGCATTGAAAAATAGTTCTCCCGCCCATTCAGCGCCGGGGACATCGACGGGGATGCGCTCCGGTTCAGGATTGGCTATCACTTGGGCGGTTGGTCGGGCCGTGGGGTACCATTTCCTCCGGGTTTGGGTGTGTGAAGCTGGGGTCGCAGACGTCGCAGCATGGGCCGAGACCAGCTCGATATATGCATCGCCTAGGATAATTTCATCACCTCGCCATCGCAAGATGGAATCGAGGTGATGTTTGACCAAAAACAAGGTTATAATTAGCGCAATGGCTATGGCCGCTCGTAATGGAGTCCGCATTGTCCAGCATGCGGAGAGTTGAAGATCAAAAACCAAATCGAAATCGAAATCGAAGATCCCAGGTTGAAGCGAAAAAGCCCGCACTTTTTATGTACGTGATAGTAGTCTCCACTCAAACGCCTTGGCCTCAGCCCGTCAGCTTGGCCGCGCGGTTACAGGGAAAATATCTACATACCTTGAACAGTATACTATCTGCCGTTTTTTCCCCTGGAAAACACGTTCATACTTGATATGTTACTGGTTCCCGAGCACTTCTTATCTGCTTGGAGTGCAAGAATCATGACTGTCGGGGTGTTAATCCGAGTGCAACCTCTTTTCCATGTGGGTCTGGCACTCGTCAGCCATTCGTGTCCAATATCGAATCTTGCGTGAAACCGTTGATCTCTTGAGGGTTTAAATTATTTTCAGGAGTAATATATGTAGTTTGTAGTATCTGCAATATATATGATATCCATAACTACCTTGTACAATATAACAATATAGTATAGGTAGCAAACTATATATATTGGCTTGAAGCGGATTTGAGGACTACAGAATGCTGCATGCAGTTTAGAATGCAACCTTGGAAACGTTTCAGACGCGTCAAGACGTTGGACATCACATAGTACATCGATTTGTATGGGTCTATATACAGTTGACTCTGTCCAGGCCTGTTCCTTAGAATCATAGATCTTATTATTGGACCTTGGTCTCTTGAAACTGACAGCCTGTCTTGACTGTTAACTCTGGCTTATCTCAGCTAATTCCTGATTCAGAATAATGGCTACGCCCAGGTGGACACAAATTAGACTCAGTCCAAATATCAAAAATGGGGGTCTATTGATGGGAAGATGAGATGTCTCATTTTCCAAGGGGAGCCTGAATCTCGTCATCACATCTACACCCAGGGGTCATACTTTCCCTTTTTTTGTCCTGGCGTAGGTATCTCGTTGCGGGTAGATCCTAGTATCTCGGAGACTTTCTTTTGGCTTCCTTTTTATCTTTTTTGTTTCTTTTTCTTCTTTGCGAAGGTGATCTTCCAGAGCGCTATACGAGTTGCAATTCAATATTGTTACAGAGTACCTCGGTAGTTAATCCCTACCTACTCTTACTTATATACCCTTCCATTCTTAACCTTTCTAATGATCAAGTTCAATGTCCAAGTGGTGTAGATAAGAAGTTTCCAACCTTGGAAGGTTGTTCCCTTCCAAGGTTCACCTCAGGGGCTGATTAGCCTTCCCCGGAACCTTCCAAGGTTCCAAGGTTACTTAGGTAGACCTCGGGAACTTCCAAGGTTGATAGGATTACTTAAACCTTGGGCACTCGGACATACCTAGGTAGCAGACAGGTCACGCGCCCTCTGTCATTTCTCCTGAAACACGTGGATGTCCTTGCGACCCGACCCGATCCTCTGTAGATCAACCATAATTTCTTCCCTTGGTATGGATCAACTCTCAACAGGTTACGGAGTACTCCGTAAATAGAGAGCAAATCAAAAGTGCAACTGGGTAGTGTGTATAATACATAATCTCTCTCTGGTCCCCTTTTGCGAGATCTCTCAACAAGATAGGACACCCAATTATTGGAGTACCTATCATGGGAATGGCAAGCGGATCACACTCCAGAGCAGAATGTTCCGTCCTTTCTAGCGTCTGAATCCGTTACTCCATCCGGAGACCGGAGGAGCCAATTCCGAGTGCGATTGTTGTACGGAGTAAGTACAATATAGGACTCCGTAACCACGAGCCGGAGAGCTCCAGAGCTCCACCCGGGATTTGACACTGCCACTAGATGTTCTAACTTGCGTCTAGCGGGTTCTAGTTGGGCCCCATGAGCCTCTGAGGAGCTTCGGTGCATACGCTAGAAACGGAGGATGCGCGGATCGTGGAGACCAAGGGAAAGTTCCAATTTCGTGGAGTGGGACTGGCACAATATTTATACTCTGGGCTCCGTAGTCTGTACGGAGTATTAGCTTTCATATACCGTCAATCAACGGCTACAACAGCCGGGGGAACAAGGTGACCTTTCCGACTGGGTCGAACTATTTAGGACAAGAGTTGTTAAAATAACTTGGTGGCTGATAAAGGTGGCGAGTCACGATTTCGGAGTGGGAAGGATGGGGCGAAATGAGATTAGGGGGGGGAACTAACTTCAGTAAATAAATAATAATAAGAGTAATAATAGTACTCCGTAATAATAGTCATAAGAAGTAATTATAGAAAATCCCCCTGAAGCAGATGGAATACAATATATGATAAATAAGGAGCGGTAAATTAAAGTGGTAAAATGCTCTGTTCAACCCGTGTCAAATATAGAGAATCACATACAGTGACAGTGCAGGAACCCCTTGCAAAGCACGAGGCAGGGCGCGAACCCCGACTTGTATACGTCAGGCAACCCGTGGGATTATGCAAATGATAATTTCAGGAGTATTACTCCGTACAGAGCACGGAGTATTGAAATATCTCCCGACTGTTCAGGGATGAGCTCGAAGTGTCCACCACGGCGGGGTCCTCTAAATTACCTAGTGACGAGCCTAACAAGGCATGGCGTCTTGGTAAAAGGCTAAGGAGTATTAGAAAGTGGGATAGGAGCCGAATTGACTGGGACTGTTGACCTTTTCTCGATGATTTGCTCTTTCTATACGGAGTACAACATAGGGGGATATACAAAAGGAAGATGAATATACGACAGTATGAGATAGTAAATGATCAAGGGGATATAATACAGAATTAAAGAAGCAACGTACTTCAAAAGATTAAATACAATATAGAATAATCTCATTGGTATATCCACATAGAAGATCCAGGGGAATTCTAATATAAAACCTAAGTACTCCGTACTAACAGTACTAACAATACTATAAGTACTATAAGTACTATAAGGATGGCATCTCCTTTTGAATCCTCTTTTCTTACTGGTTTAATATAACCTTGGAAATTCTAGATTCCCTTCTCTAGGCTCTTATTGCTTGCATATCTAACTGATCACCTGCTTTTTTAAGGACTCGATCTCATTCTCTCTCTCATCTTTCTTTCCCCTAATCACCTCCTTACTCCCTTTCTTGGCGGATTTATGGACTTTGCCTGAATTTATTTCTCCCCCTCGATCCTTTTTATTTTGAGTGTCAACTTTCAGGTTTCATCTCTTTATATTGGGAAGTCCACGGTTCCAAAGGGAAATCCCCCCAACCCACCATCCACATCCAAAAACTTCGGATAAAAGGGAAAAAAAGAAAAGGAAAAGAAAAGCAAAAGAACCCCCCCCTTGAATGAAAATCGAAGCATTTTAAATTTCGTGATATTTTGGCGACATTTTGCTTGGATTTCTGTCCTTTTTTTCCTTTTATTTTTTCTTCTCCGCCCAGAATCTCCCTCCGATCGGCTTTTAGTCCAAACTTTTCCCTTCTCTCCCCCCCCAACATCCGCACAATCCCGTCCCTCGACGGTTTTCTTTTACTTCCCTTGCGTCGCTCTCATGGTGGAGTAGTGACAATTATTCCTTAATCTGGTTTTGGTGGATTTTCACATTCCTCGTGGAATTCTCGATGAGTTATCAAGACATGTATCACGATCATTCTGCGCGTTCCCCTGGGTCTCAGAGGCATCAACAACCTTTACACCGTCAGCCTTCTCGACAGTTCGACGCATATGGACCCATGCCCACCAACATGTACGAGCAAGATCAGATGCGTTACGAGTCCGCTCGCCTCGAACGCTTGAACCCGTCCCTGCAGAACAACTACGGATATGATATCTCCGGCTCGCAGACTTGGAACCCCAACGGTTTTGCCAATGCACAAACTCTCGGCGGAATTCGCTCTGCTTCCGCCAGTTTGAAGCCCAATGCCCGTGGACGTGCTGGCCTTCCTACGGTATGTTTGGTCTTATCCGGTCGATTCTCCAAAGGTGAAAAAAAGAGAGAGAAAAAGAAAAAAATTACTAACAAACACCTCAAGACATGGTTGGATCAGCAACCAAACATGCCCCAAGCATTCTCAAACCTGGGCCCTGGCCCCATTCAGAGTAGCGCTATGCGACCGGAAGCCTCCGCTTCATCTGCCGACGACGACGAATTGATCCCAACTGCGATTGTCATCAAGAATATCCCCTTTGCCGTGAAGAAGGAGCAGTTGGTGCAGTTGATGACAGAACTCAACCTTCCCCTGCCCTATGCATTCAACTATCACTTCGACAATGGTGTCTTCCGTGGTCTGGCCTTCGCCAACTTCACCTCCGCCGAGGAGACAGCAACCGTGATCGAGGTGCTCAACCACTTTGAGTTACAGGGTCGGAAACTGCGAGTCGAGTACAAGAAGATGCTTCCCCTACAGGAACGGGAACGGATCGAGCGCGAGAAGCGGGAACGCCGTGGCCAGCTGGAAGAACAGCACCGCCCGATGGGAGGAGGTCCTCAGCTCCAGACGCAGAGCTCCATGTCTTCACTCACCTCGCACATCCCGGCCACCTCCCCTTCGCCCGTATCTCAGCGTGGCCAAAAGATTGGTGGGTTACACTCGGGTTTAAAAGTTGAAAATTTGTCCTGTCGCTAACCAAACTCTTTTCCTATGTACAGATGTGGACTTGAACGACACCCAGACGCTTTCTTACTACTCCCAACTACTCCTCTTCAAGGAAGATACTGTGCGCGATTCCGTGATCTTCCCCCACAATCTCACCCCCTCCCAGCGTCGCACGGTTCACACTCTGGCCCACAACATGGGCTTGGGCCATGCTTCACGTGGCAGCGGCGAACAGCGCCAGGTGCAAGTCTTCAAGATCGCCGCAGGTGCCAATGTCAGCCCCCCCGACATCTTCGATCCCGTCCTCTGGCCAGTCGGACAGTGGTCGTCGCGGCCTTAACCGGGCGGCGACCATCGACTTCAGCGAGGCTCGCCAAGAGGCTGGCCCGGGCGCTTTCAACACGTTGCGTGGACAAAACTCGGGCTTTTTGGGCGTGATGGATTCTCCTGGCAACTTTGCCAACGGTCAGAACCTACGGGCTGCCAAGTCCTTTGCCGACCTGCGATCTTACACTCCTTCGCCCGTGCCTTCCTCCGCTAGCTTCCCCGCCGCCTTGCAGTCCAATGGCACCCGCCTCCAGTATGAGGGTGCCCCCACTGCTACTTCCAACACCCCGACCCTCACCCCTGCCCAGTCTGGTTCTTCCCTTGGCATGCGGGATGACAACCTCCTGGTCAACAGCCTGGGTGGTCTTTCCCTCGGCACCGGTATTGGTGGCCCCAACTCGAGCCCCCGTCGCCTGAGAGGCATGTTCTCTTGGGAGCAGGACAACCAATCTAACGCCGGCGCCATTGGAAGCAACCGTGGCATGGGTATGGGATATGACGGCCAGCAGGAGCGCATGCCCGTCCGCCAACCCCGTGGCCCAACCCCCGACAAGGGCACCGGATTTCGCCGTCAGAACGGCCACCAAGCCCGCGGAAGCGATGAACTCCGCACCAACTCCGGAGTAGAGATCATTGTGGAGTAGAACATTGGACGAATTTATTGAAGATGGCGACTCCCCTTTTTATTGCCAGCATCCGACTGATTTGCCGCGAGACGAATACGACTTGTACAACGAGTCCCTGTTCTGCGAAATTACCGGCTTACGATTCGATGAGGGATGACGAGATGACAACACAAAAAAAAAAAAGACCAGAAAATCCTTTGTTTCGCTGATCTAGTCAAGTTTTTAGACGTTTCTTTTTTTGGGGGCAGCCCAACAGACACGCGGTTTGGATGAATGCTCTTTGAAATTTCCCCGACTCACAGATTCAAGAAGAATTCTGGACTTCTCTGATTATTATTTTTTTCCCCAACACTTTCTGATATTGCGGGCGCCTTGCATGCAAATCCATGGATTTCTTATGCTGTGTCGAACGAACTCCACGACCCCGAAAACGCCTCCTGGTGATATGGGACGCATACGAAGAATGACACCAAAACACCTTTTGCCGACGGCAGAAGAAACGACAATACCAGCATTTTGCATATTCTTGTCTGTTTTAGTTTGTACATGGGGTGACTCGCATCCGTTTTAATGTTTCTGGTCTTGTCCCAACCGATTTCCCCTGGGAAATTCATGTTCGGTCTGGGTAAGACGGTTGTGACATGTTTCTTCATTTTCTTTCTGCTTTCTTTTCCGCGTGCTTTGACTGCTTCTTGGACCGGACGTCGTTGATCTGAAATGGTGATCAGGGTGAATCCACAACTCTGGTTTTCTTCTAAAATCGAAACAGCTATATTGTGATTCTGCTGCCTTCGACTGTGCCGATTCTACAGATCTACCTTGCGCAGTGTGGATGCATTTGCATTCCTGTGTCAGTGATGTTGATATATTTCCCAACTCCCATTCTGGAGGGTATTGTTCTTCATGTTTGGTGTCTTGCAGTCCAGGGATCTTTTTTTTTCTCTTCCATTGCCTTTGCCTTTGTACTCAGATTCTCAGTTCAATCCATGTACCTTCTACTTTACTTCTGTCCTACTAGTAGGTGAGTCAAGACCATAGTGTGTAAATATTGACAATAGAAATCTCTACTCCGTACATATATATGTACTTCTAACCTGATTCATCCTATACAGCTGGTATCAAAGGATATATATGTATATATTTAAGCCTTTTTTGACCTTCTGCTATCTACCTAGCAATCTGAGAAGGGAGAGAAACTACATGTATCTAAATAACCAGGTATCTAAAGACTATCTGAGAAGTCCACCAGACTACTGTTATAAGGGATAAAACCCAAAATCCACATGCCAAGAATGACGCGGTCCTTGTTTTTCTCTCAGAGTTATGTATGTTCGTCCCTGTCGATCCCCCGTGGAGCCAAGAAAGTTCCTGATCTAATATGCAAGGTCTTTCATATAAACATTTGACCCGAGGAATGTGACGTGATAATCGGAAGCATCGCCGGACTCTGGGACTTCTACTGTACACTGAAAATCTATAGATAATCGTACAATTACTACATAAATGAATGGTGAAGCACATCGAATCAGTAAAATTCCCACTACCAGGATATCCCCATTTTCCCATTACAGCGCCCTATGAACTCGAAAAAAAAAAACGATTGAAAGCAAAGACCGGGGAATATCAGAAAAAAAAATACATCAAAGTAGAGCGCCGTGAAGAATAAAGACGAGAGGACTAAAAAAAAAGGGCAGCCACGATCGGTAGGTTTAGGGGGGCCAAGGCATTGACGTCTCGACGGTACGTCTCGCGGTGCCAGCCCATCTTTTCGGAACTTTTCAGATGTTGATTTAAAGCTCGATCTTGCCACCCTTCTTCTTTTGCTCGACCTTCAGGAGCAGTGCACGGTTGATGCGGGGCAAGACACCACCGAAGGCGATGGTTGCGCGGATGAGAGTGTCCAATTCTTCATCACCACGGATGGCAAGCTGGAGGTGGCGTGGCGTGATACGCTTGACCTTGAGATCCTTGGCGGCATTACCTGCCAGTTCCAGAACTTCGGCAGTCAGGTACTCAAGAACAGCGGTCACGTAGACGGCAGCTAGAGGCGAGAAGTGTTAGAGACGGGTTGTTTAGGAGATCAGTTCAAGGGGCATAATACCTTTGGCACCGACACGCATCTTGTTCTGAGTGTTGTTCTTCAAAAAACGCTTGACACGACCACAGGGGAACTGGAGAGTGAATTTGTGTTAGCAGTCGCGTCATCTTAGAGAGCTGGCGATTAGAGGAAAACATGGGTCAAGAGAGAGGGCATGCGATGGCATGGGATGAGTTCCATAGATATCGAGGGAGAAAAAAAAAACCGCCCCTTATCGAGCAGCAACGAGGGACCGAGTCGACGCGTCTTCGAGGGGCAGTTTCATCGAGTAACTCATCGCCCGTACCGCATTTCCACTCTCAGATGAGATGATCCCTAACCCAGCAACGAGACAAGACACGATCCCACTAACCTGCAGACCAGCCTTTGCGCTGTGAGACTTCTGGGCCTTCCCCGCAGCATCGCCCTTTCCGCCCTTTCCACCGATAGACTTTCCCTTTCCGCCAGGCATTGCGAAATAAATGTGCGAAAACGGTCGCAGAGGTAGGTATAGCAGATAGAAATAGAAATCAAGACGATTTGGCAGTGGTGTGGATGTGAAGGCGATTCAGAGTGCGGAAGATACGCGCGTTGTTGATGGATGGAGAAGTCAGAATGTGCCAGGCGCCGGCTGTGCCAAAAAGACACTTGGCGCTAGTCCCAAAATGGAAACATCCTTTCTCACAGCGTTCAGTTTCTTGCCGGTATATATGGCCATCTGTAGGGTCAATGTGGATGATCTAGAAATCAGTTGCTGTAAGGGTTATCATATCCTTTCTCTTTCCCAAAAATAGATAGAAGCCATGATAATTTTTGGCATGTGAAGGGACCATGGAAGCCAAGTGCGCCTTCAGCCATCTGGTTGCAATGGATGTCTTCAGCATCTATGGCCAGGATTCACATATGAAACTCCTGTGGTTGTAATAATACACACCATTGTGTGACTTCAAGCTAAATGGAAGTCCACTGATGTGGTGGTTGCTGACGTTTTGCAAAATAAGCTGGTCTGGTTTGAAGCTGGACCACCACAGTTACCAGCTATGACCAGCAGTGGGGGTGATCATGTGATCTATTCGCCTCATATGTCAGGCGACAAAGAATTTTTGATGCCTCAGGCGATCACAAGATGGCGGATAGATAGCGTCGGAAAATCTATTCATCCGGCTCCCTGGCCTTCCAGAAATGCCAGGTGGCCCACGGCTTTGAAGTTTTGTTCGCGTTGTACTCCCCCATACTCAACGATTTCCCCATATCGAAAAAGCACCCGGCAAAATGGTGTCTCCTCAAATGTATGCTTGACAATTTCTTGATTTCGATTATATATCTCTACAGAGACTGACAATGATCGGACAGTACCAACCTCGCCATCATCTTGGTGATGATGCAGCTGGCCAAGAAGGTTCCCTTTGAGGATCCTCAGGTCCTGATGATGGTGCGCGGATGCTACATCCTGTCCAATCTCCTCATCCTGGCCATCCACCTATACACCCAGTTCAAGATCAACCAAAAGAAGGGTATGCCCGATCGCGTGCTCTCCCCACAATCGAAAAACCAAAAGCTAACTGATATTCGTAGACATGACGACCCTCAAGTACGTTGAGCCCGCCCCGATGGGTAGCACCGAGGAGCCCAAGCCCGTGACCACCACCAACATGGACTACGACAAGGCTCAGCTGCGCCAGCTGCTCCGTAGCCAGCTTATGGGTGTCGGCATGATGGGTGTGATGCACCTGTACTTCCAGTACACAAACCCCCTCCTCATCCAGTCGATCATCCCCCTCAAGGGCGCCTTCGAGTCCAACCTCGCCAAGATCCACGTCTTCGGCAAGCCCGCTACTGGTGATCTCGCCCGTCCCTTCAAGGCCGCCGGTGGCTTTATGTCCCAGGCCGGACCCAAGACCGACAAGGCCTCCATTGAGGCTGCCGAGAAGAACTGGCGCGGTGGTGTCAAGGAGGAATAAGTACAAACGCTGGGTTGATTTAGGTCATCAATTGATTCCCCCTAAGGGTGTTCGATGGCCGATCTGAATCATAGCACAGTTCACATCTCCCCATTGTACTATAATCCATAATCCTATCAAGTCCGGACCCTCCTTTCTGGCTAGGGTCTGGGCTATATTCTTAATTTCGATTCCTCTGGTCGCGCCATGCCCCCTATGTTGTACGATCTAAGTCCTGTACGAAAGGACGTTCAGTCATGGCACCTGTCGGGGGGGTTGCGCCACTGGTGTATCGGCTTCGTGTTCCATGCTGATATGGGCTGATGAGGTCTGAGGTTTCATAGTTAACATGGGTCCGTGATTATTAGTGAGGACTCCGTGTTGTAGGGTCTCATTCCCTGCGCAGGTGTTGAGGCAAAAGGGATTTATAATCCAGTTTCTTGGGACATTGGAGTATTGGGGACCCCAATAGTTAAAGCCCCTCCATAGCTCAAATATTAGAGTAATCCAAAACAAAAACATTAAAAAAAAAATCTGCCAGATCCCGTGGCCCCATGTGTTGAGATACCGGTGACTCCTTTCAGGGCGGAGGGAGCCACCAAGCTATATCACCATACTCGATCCGTCCACCGCAGGAGTTTGAGCAACACGGTTGGCCCGCAGAAGTGGAGGAACACAGCATTTTATGTATACAAGTAGTTAGGAAATAATATAATATTTAATTCTATTTAACTGGATCAGTTGTACTATACCTATCTATATGCAGTACATACAACTATGTACATACCTCATGTTCTGCCCCTCCCATCAATTTGCCCCTCCAACAGCGTCATAGCTTGCCCTTTAGTCAACCTCGGGAATCTCTTTCAATCTTGTACATAACATTATCGTGATCTTCTCCGTTGTAACCGAATAGACACCGAATAAGGCAAAATATTCAAGAGAAAGCTCCGAGGAATAGTAAAGAACCCGAACAGCAGTTGAGATTGCCATATTCCTATTGGTAGACGGGAGCTACCGAGGGGCAGAGGAGGGCCCCAATATCGTGACTCTTCCTGCTTTCCCCGGTGTATGAAACCGGAAATGCTGTTGCTGGGCAGGCAAAGCGGCAACAGTCGGGAAATCTAGTTCATTCTGATCTGGAGGGGTGTGGCCATCCAAAGTCCCCGTCCGTCTCTTCGGTGAGGGGTGATCTGTCCATTGCGTCAGTCATCCATTCATTAATCTTCCCCCCCTCCCCCAGATCTTTTTTTTTCCTTTTCTTCTCTTCCTCCATCCCAATTCTCCTCTTCTCTTCAATTACTTCACTATTACAGTGAGTTCATCATCCTCTTATCATCTATCCCTCTATACATGAGCTAACGGCTTCTGCTTCCAGTAAACCGCAATCATGGTTGTCCAAGTCGGTATCAACGGTTTCGGTCGTATTGGCCGCATTGTAAGCTCTCTTCATCACCATTCCAGTTCCCAATACTAACAACTTCTCAGGTCTTCCGCAATGCGTAAGTTGCACACTTGAAGAGAAAGAAAAAAGAAAAAGAACCCGAGCAGCATCCTAACCAATACCTATAGTATCAACAACCCCGATGTCGAGGTCGTCGCTGTTAACGACCCCTTCATTGAGACTCACTACGCTGTATGTTTCTTGAAACCAACCGCTTCTATAATATCCTGGTATTAACCTTCCATTTATGGGATAGGCCTACATGCTCAAGTATGACTCCACCCACGGTCAGTTCAAGGGCGAGATCCAGCACGTTGAGGACGGTCTCATCGTCAACGGCAAGAAGGTTACCTTCTTCGCTGAGCGTGACCCCGCTGCCATCCCTGGGGCAAGGCCGGTGCCGCCTACATTGTCGAGTCCACCGGTGTCTTCACCACTCAGGAGAAGGCCTCCGCCCACTTGAAGGGTGGTGCCAAGAAGGTCATCATCTCCGCTCCCTCCGCCGATGCCCCCATGTTCGTCATGGGTGTCAACAACAAGGACTACACCAAGGATGTCAACGTCCTCTCCAACGCCTCTTGCACCACCAACTGCTTGGCTCCTCTCGCCAAGGTCATCAACGACAACTTCGGTATCGTTGAGGGTCTCATGACCACCGTCCACTCCTACACCGCCACCCAGAAGACCGTCGATGCTCCTTCCAACAAGGACTGGCGTGGTGGCCGCACTGCGGCCCAGAACATTATCCCCTCCTCCACCGGTGCCGCCAAGGCTGTCGGTAAGGTTATTCCCCAGCTTAACGGCAAGCTCACCGGTATGGCCATGCGTGTCCCCACCGCCAACGTCTCCGTTGTCGACCTTACCTGCCGCATCGAGAAGGGTGCCTCCTACGACGAGATCAAGGCCGTCGTCAAGGCCGCTTCCGAGAACGGCGAGCTCAAGGGTGAGTTACCTTTCCAGTCATTTCCTTTTTTGAACCCACAAATATTGACAAACTATTTTAGGCATCCTTGGCTACACTGAGGACCAGATCGTCTCCACCGATCTCAACGGTGACGATCGCTCCTCCATCTTCGATGCCGCCGCCGGTATCGCCCTTAACGCCAACTTCATCAAGCTTGTCTCCTGGTACGACAACGAGTGGGGTTACTCCCGCCGTGTTGTTGACCTCATCTCCTACATTGCCGGTGTCGATGGCCAGTAGGAATCAGGACAGCGTCCTGGGGTCAGAAGTGTTCTTTAAGGTGCTAGGTTCCTTGTTGCACAGGCTACGAATATGGGTGCATGAGGGCTTCGCCTTGTAGAAAAAAACAAGATGATAACGTCATTTAATGAAACAAACCATTTCCAGTTCATTCTTATCGAAAATTGTTGTAGGCCGTACTATTATACTCGTTTAGAATACGTACAGTCAATCATTTTCACACATGAGGTTTTCATATGCGTTGGTTGAAAGACCAATGAAGGTGGCCGGTATATGTCTTCCAAAAGAACTGCATATTCACCTGCATTATGTACATTTAGGTATCCATGGATATATATCTCATGTTGTACTTGGAAAAGTCCGTTTTGCAGGAATTGTGCTCTTCACTGGCTTATACATTCTGCGGTCACCAATTATCTTCCTGGATACACACTGAGAGAAGAGGAAATGCCTAAAAATATACAAAGCATCATACGGAAATGTTCATTTTCATATTATTTCTATTCATGAATGTAAACACCCAGTTGAGTACAGAGGCACAAGCGGCCGACTGTCCCGAGGACCTTTCAGATATTACAAAGGCAACCAAAGACTAAAGTCAGTAGCATTTTATCCATAAGTTATTTGAGGTTGAAAATCAAACAGTTCATCTTCATCGTCACCTGCATGTACTTTTGTACTTCCTTTGATAACCTTGGAGGCCCTCTAAACCGTGGAGGCTGATAAGTCAGCACATACTAAAAGCTCACCGCCAATTATAATGCACCACGCCAATCCTTTCCTGGCAGCGGTCAGTTTGGCGGTGAGTATTAAAATGTCTGGCAATAAGAAAGACTGGCCCAAAAGGGATCCAACATGCACATTGATCCATTCCCATTGTCACTCAGTGGACTTGGCTATTCTGTTCTTCATTTCTACCCACTACGTGAAGGTCTGCAATTGAATTTCTTTTTGGAAATTATTCATCTGGAGATCACTCTTTCTTCATCATACTGCAGCTGAATCGCAGTGTCAGTCCAATTACGGCAGGAGACGATTGTATACCACTGTATGCTTGCACAAGTCACACCTTCAGATATTCCTGCCATTTTCGGTAAATATCAAAGAATTGTTCAACAACGGGGACATTTGACCGATTGATCTATTCTGCAGTCTGCTGCGCAAGGTGCATTCGACATCGTGGACCAGAAGCATCAACCGAATCACCATTAGTCCGATATTAAGCTTTAAGATTGCCACGCAAGCAAAACACCCTCTATTGTGGTATAGCCTGGTAATGATCTAACAAGAGCCAAGCTTGAATTAAATCAAAGGGCTTCCCGTGGCTTTCCCTTGCACGATGGGCGAGGACGAGGATACAGTTATGGGGGATTCCCATAACCTCTCCACCTCGACTGCAAACCCATCTTTCACTGGAGTCCCTCTTCCCACTCATCTCAGCAATTATACCACCCCCAATCTTGCTCCTTCTTCCATCCCCCAAGCGGTTCCCGCATCCCTATCACCCGGTTCTGAGCAGTCTCAACCTCAGGAGACCATCGCCTCCACCGGAATGGCCCCTCCTGAGCGGTTGGCCAAGACGAGTGATGGTGATAGTTCTGCTGCCGAGCAGTTAAAACGCGATAGCCTAGTTGAACCTGACTCTGACTGGTCTGACGAGGAAGTCATGGCTAAATCGGGTCTGCCACTGGCATCGCTTGCCACGGGACTTTGCTATGATCATCGCATGCGTTACCACTGTGAGGTTCGCCCACAAAGTGATGTCCATCCAGAGGATCCCAGACGCATCTATTACATCTACAAGGAGCTATGTCGCGCCGGTCTTGTTGACGACCCAGAATCGTCTCGACCATTGGCACCCAAAACCCTGCAAAGGATCCACGCCCGAAATGCAACCGAGGAGGAAGTTACCCTCATTCATAATGATGCCCACTACGCATTCGTTCAAAGCACGACAGGTATGTGTTTGCCACCACCGGAAAACCTGGCCTTGATGGATCCCCTGACCCGATCAATAGGAATGCCCAACGACGTACTTATTCAGCTGGAGAAAGATCGCGACTCTATCTATTTCAACAATCTGACCTTTGGATCTGCCATTTTGTCTACTGGAGGCGCAATCGAGACGTGCTTAGCTGTCGCCCAGCGGCAAGTGAGAAATGCCATAGCCGTCATCCGCCCACCCGGTCACCATGCTGAGGATGATGCTGCGATGGGATTCTGTCTATTTAACAATGTGTGCGTTGCAGCACGCGTTTGTCAAAATAGACTAGGAGACGCGTGCCGGAAGATCATGATTCTTGACTGGTCAGTACCCCACATGACTGTTTGGCCACTCCAGCAATACTGACTTTGCACTAGGGATGTTCACCATGGTACGATTAACCCTAAGCACGGTCTTTGAAAACAATCCAAGCTCACATATCATAGGCAACGGCATCCAGAAAGCATTTTACGATGACCCTAATGTTCTTTACATTTCCATACATGTCTACCAGGACGGTCGCTTCTACCCTGGAGGTCCTGCAGGAGACTGGGATCATTGTGGTTCAGGCGCCGGAGTCGGAAAGTGAGTTTCTCTCTAAGCACATGAAATGACCAACGTCTCATGCTTCTTAGAAATGTCAATATTCCATGGCCCGACCAGGGTATGGGCGATGGCGACTACATGTTCGCCTTCCAGGAAGTGGTGATGCCCATTGCCCAAGAATTCGATCCCGACTTGGTGATTGGTGAGAATACCCCCTCTTTTGATCTAGTGTAGAGTTATTGACTATGACAGTCGCTGCTGGGTTTGATGCTGCTGCTGGTGATGTACTGGGTGGCTGCTTTGTCTCACCAGCTTGCTATGCCCAAATGACCCACATGCTCATGACTTTGGCCAATGGAAAGGTCGCGGTCTGCTTGGAGGTGCGTGGTTTGCCTCTCTAGATTATTGCTTGCTTGATCTGACCGCGAAACAGGGTGGATACAACTTCAAGTCTATCTCTAAGTCGGCTCTAGCTGTGACCAAGACTCTTATGGGAGAGCCCCCGGACCGTTTGCTTAGCAGTTCTCCGACTGACTCTGCAGTCGCAGCGGTTCGCCGGGTGAGGAGCATCCAATCCCAGTATTGGAGTCGCCTGTACCCCAAGACATCTTCTCACCCTGTCTACGCGAATCGTCTTCACGGTGAGAGTTACACATAGTACTTCCGACTCAACAGAGCTGATGAGTCCTCCAGATGTCCTTCGCGTTTACCAGTCGAACCAGCTGTATGAAAGCTGCAAGCTCACCCCGCTATACATTTATCGCACCGCCATTTCCAAGTCATTTGATAAACAAGTTCTGGCAAGGTAAGTTGCAACCATTCAATCTCAATATTCTAATATGGAACTCACAATCTGGCAGTCCAAATTATCACCAACGTGTGCCGCTTATTGTCATTTTCCACGATCCGTAAGTGTTCCGATAATAAGCCGCAGATCGTATAACTGACCGTATCTAGGCCCGAGATTGTGGGACAGGCTCATCCCGTGAATAATAAGTTGGAAGCGCACAACGTTTGGATGGTACGTGATCCACGATGATTGATTGAGATTATCTGCTAACATAACAAAAAGGCTGATTCACTCACCGAGTATGTTAAATGGACCGTGCGTAAGGGCTACGCGGTGATCGATGTCAACGTTCCCAAGCATGTAACTCAGGAAGCGGTAAGTCTGGATGCGCAATCCTTTGTAAGGGCCATCGACTAATTTGAATGATTTTAGGCCGGTGGATACAAGGGAGAGGACCAGAACCGCCCGTCTGCCACTGAAGAGCTTGCCGGATACTTGTGGGACAACTATATTGAGTGAGCTATGGCCAACCAAGTACATTGGTTATTGAGCTGACAAGTTATCAAAGTGCGAACCAGGCAACCGAAATTTTCCTGCTCGGCGTCGGCAACGCTTTCTTCGGCGTGTCTAACATGCTGATCCACAGGGGTACGTTCAGGTCGGGTATCAGGTGTAACTTTGCTAATAACCTAGTAGAAAACCTTTACAAGCGTGTCAGCGGCGTGATCTCCTTCGTATCTGTGAACCCAGTCCGTGCCATCGCATCTACCACGCAGACCTGGCTATCGAAGTGGTACCGCGAGGTAAGCCACAAATTGTTTGTCAACGATATCTTCTATATCTTCTACTAACGCGATTCTTTTCCCTTCAGAACTCCCTTGTTATTGTTTCAAACACCCACGGTATTTGGGGTCAAGGACGGCCTTCTAAGCGCTACGGACAGCTAGTTCATTCCCCTAAAACGGATCTGAACGAGATGCTTGATGAGCATAAGGAGGAAGTGTTCGAGTGGATCTCCGAGCGTGCGGACCGGGAGGAGGACTCGGATGAAGATTCTTGATTTCTTGATTTCTTAATTCCTGATTCGAGCGTGAACCCGTAGAATATCCAAGGTTGTGCATGGAGTTATGCGGTCTATTATCGAAGGATTCTCTTTTTCATACCCTAGTAATGACAATTACCTTGCCACTTAGTACGTACATCCATGGATGTATCTGTGTCATATTTGCCTAATGAGGGACCTTGGGGAATTCCCCGCAGATAAAAATAGGTCAGGGAAAACTATACTAACATGTCTTTGATCTTGGCTCTAATACATTCTCGTCCATCGCCAAAGAAGGAAGATGTCAAGAAGATGTCAGGTGCGAGCCCCTATGGCCCTCTGGAAGAGTGATATCAGCACGGCTTTTGGATTTGAGATTTGAGACATTGGTGACTTCACTACTGTGACACATCACCAACCATAGCTCGAGGTTTTTTTTAGCGGTCTACATGACAAAGAAGCGAGCATGAGCTGGTTACCACTGATTTTAGATACATATATCGTATAAGTAGTATGTACTTACTTTCCTAGTGTGGCGTTGATCTGCATGTCGTCCCTGGGATGTAACGATGTCTCACTTTTTACCCCAGAAACCCCGGCGTGGCAAAATACGGACCTAATCACTTCCATAGTTATGCAAGAAAATCCCTTGGGTCTTCTCTTTCTCACCACTTGGCATGCATGGTCGGAAAGATCATGTCATTCCAAATGGTTGCTCTCGCCTAGGGCTGGATACATCCAATGATCGGGTCGGAGCGTTCTGAGACATCGTATTCTTTTCGCTACACCCATGGTCTCTTTTCTGTCTCTTTTCTGTCTCTTTTTCTCCACTGACATCGATCTTGGAAAACTCTTTGACCATGCGATGCGGGGATTTTGTAAGATTTTACGAACCATTGCTACTTCCGGTCCTGTGACAGATGGCCTGACCGCTGCCCAAGTGGTTATGGCTTCAATGGGTTAGTTTGGGATGGGATGTCTTGGATTTGGTGAGCAAACCATCATACTTTCCAGTAGCAACTCTGCTTTGGAAATCGAGTTTATCCTCGGGTCAAAAGGGCGACCAGGTATAGGCTGGAAACCCATTGCTCAATCCACCAGCAGGGAAACTATATAAGGGCACTCGTATCCTATCCAAGAGAGATATTCTCGTCACTTCCAACAGACTTCATCGCTTTATCTCAAACCAACTCAATCTTCCTATCAAAATGCACTTTTCTACTGCAGTTATTGCCTCCGTTGCCGCTCTGGCACCGCTTGCTAGCGCTGTTGGCAACGCTGTCGTGACCAACCACTGCGCATTCCCAGTCTCACCTATGGTCCGTTGGTGGTAGCGTTGGCCCCAAGCAAACCATCCCAGCAGGCGGCAGCTACAGCGAAGCACTGCACCACGACAGTGCCTCCGGTGGCATCTCGCTGAAGATCACCACCGTTGACAACGGTCTGTACAACGGCAGTCCGCAGACCAACTTTGCCTACACTCTGGACCCAGGCACAGTTTGGTATGACCTGTCAGATGTCTTCGGCGACCCATTCTCCGGCAAGACGATTGTTGTGCGGCCCACAGACACGACTTGCTCGAGCATCTGTTGGCCACAGGGTGTTAACCCCGGCGGCAGTCAGACTAAGAACTGTAACTCGGACAGTAGTATCAACCTGAACCTCTGTGCGGCCAAGTGCTAAGCGCCGTTGGATATAATGGTGGGGGCAGTGTCCACTAGCACGTGTGAATTGACCAACGGAGCTGCGGGGAAGGAAGAGCTTCGACGTGGAACCAGTTAGGACATGACATGTATGTAGCTAATATGATAATGGGAAAGAGTGACTTATTTTTAAAGTCCAATCCTGGTAGGCACGAGTCTGCCTTGTCCCGGAATACGCCACTGGTAGGTGATAGAGCGCTTATTAGGGCTACGCAGTCTCTAACCGCCAGTGCGCCATATTGTATTTTGCGAGCAGAACGTTTCATAACTAAATTAGTATATGTTATATGTGTACGTATTTTATTGACTACGGGAATTGATAGAATAGATATTAGTACTGTAGAAATTGGCACTATAGAATTTGAGATATCAAAGGTTCCCTTTCTACTATCTACCTAACAGCTAAGGAGGAAATACATGTATCTATATACCCAGGTATCTACAAAGACCACTAAGAAAGACCACTAAGACCACTAAAATACATGGGAAGACTAACGAATATTATAGGAATTGAGATATTGTAGGAAAATTAATTACTAGAACTTCCAAGGTTGTAATATGGAAGATACCATAAGGCGCACTCGCCATGGCGGTTAGAGACTATCACCGCCTCGAGCATCTGGGGCAGTATTTCCACCAGGCCCGGGTTGATCAACATCGCCTTGTCCCTCAGTTGATTTTACAACTTCCTTTCCCCCCTCTGGTATATAATCCCACATATATACCGAAACGTATATAAACCCGTCTCATTTTCGGCCTGGAATTCCCAAGTGCATTGACCTTATCAGTCACGTCATTGGCCTCTCCCCTTGGCAACTGAATGCCTCCAAGGTCCTCTGCTGCAAACCTGTGTCACAAAGGTCTCATTCGCAGCTCAACCCGCCCTTATCCCGATTTGCTGTCACGCATCAGTGTGACCAGTCCTCGTTCAGTACGGCCCGTACCTTTACCGATTCTTTCTTCCGTGCATTGGACCCGCCGTTCATCCTCCCATTCAACCCCTAACTTCACCGCCACACCCCCGATCATGACTCAAATCGAGCGTATTACAGAGAACTTGGAGAAACCGGAGCTAGACGATCGTTCTTATCGGGTGATCCGGTTGCCAAACAAGCTTGAGGCCCTCCTAGTTCATGACCCGGACACCGATAAGGCCAGTGCCGCCGTGAATGTCAATGTTGGCAATTTCTCCGACGAAGATGATATGCCAGGAATGGCTCATGCAGTAGAGCATTTGCTGTTTATGGGCACAAAAAAGGTAAATGAACAACTTACAACCTACCGCCACCACCTTACAAAGCCGAGGTAAATGCTAACTGGATCTCTGTTGTTTTAGTACCCGAAGGAAAATGCATACAACCAGTACCTAGCATCCCACTCCGGTTCGTCCAATGCCTACACAGCTGCCACTGAAACGAACTACTTCTTCGAAGTGTCCGCCACAGGTGACTCCAGTGCCCCGAAATCAAGCGGAGATAGCACCCCTGCCGAGACAAATGATAGCAATGGCGTCTTGTCAAATGGGAATGGCTTAGATGGGAAATCGCCCCTCTATGGAGCATTGGATCGGTTTGCCCAGTTCTTTGTCGCTCCGCTTTTCCTAGAGTCAACGCTGGAACGGGAGCTGCAGGCGGTGGATTCGGAAAATAAAAAGAACCTCCAAAGTGACCTGTGGCGTCTGATGCAACTGAATAAGTCGCTTTCAAACCCTAAACATCCCTACAGCCACTTCTCGACTGGTAACCTGCAGACCTTGAAAGAAGATCCACAGAAACGTGGTCTTGAAGTCCGCAGTGAGTTCATCCGGTTCTACGAGAAGCACTACTCAGCCAACCGGGCGAAGTTGGTTGTCCTGGGGCGGGAGTCTTTGGACACTCTGGAGCAATGGGTCTCCGAGCTCTTTTCCGATGTCGAGAACAAGAACCTTGCTCAGAATCGCTGGGACGATGTTCAGCCTTTCACCGAGAAGGATATGTGCACCCAGGTGTTTGTGAAGCCCGTCATGGATACTCGATCTATGGATATGTACTTCCCGTTCCTCGACGAGGAGGATTTGCATGACACCCAGCCTAGCCGTTATATCAGCCATCTGATTGGCCACGAAGGCCCTGGCAGTGTTCTTTCTTACCTCAAGGCCAAGGGATGGGCCAATGGCCTGTCTGCAGGTGCCATGCCTGTCTGTGCTGGGTCAGCGTTTTTCACTATCTCGGTGCGTCTGACCCCCGAAGGTCTGAAGCAATACCAGGAAGTTGCAAATGTCGTCTTCGAGTATATCGCTATGATCAAGCAACGCGAGCCCGAGCAATGGATCTTCGACGAGATGAAGAACCTTGCCGAGGTCGATTTCCGGTTCAAGCAGAAGACCCCGGCTAGTCGATTCACTAGCCGTCTGAGCAGCGTTATGCAAAAGTCACTGCCTAGTGAATGGCTGCTGAGCGGGTCTTTGCTCCGACGATTCGACCCTGACCTGATCAAGAAGGCGTTGAGTTATCTGCGGGCCGACAACTTCCGCCTAGTCGTTGTATCCCAGGAGTTCCCGGGTACATGGGATCAGAAGGAGAAGTGGTATGGTACCGAATACAAGGTCGAGAAGATCCCACAGGAATTCTTGGGCGGTCTTCAGAAGGCTTTAGAGTCGACTGAGGCCACCCGCACTTCTAACGTGCACATGCCTCACAAGAACGAATTCGTGCCGACCAGACTCTCGGTGGAAAAGAAGGAGGTGGCCGAGCCAGCGAAGACGCCTAAACTGATTCGCCACGATGATCGGGTGCGCCTGTGGTTCAAGAAAGATGACCGTTTCTGGGTGCCCAAGGCCACTGTCGAGGTAACGCTCCGCAATCCTTTGGTGTGGGCTACACCTGCCAATCTCATCAAAACGAAGCTGTATAGCGAGTTGGTACGAGATTCGCTAGACGAATACTCCTACGACGCTGAGCTTGCTGGCTTGGACTACCATCTGTCGGCGAACATTTTGGGCTTGGACATTTCCGTGAGCGGGTACAACGACAAGATGTCCGCTCTATTGGAGAAAGTACTCAATACCATGCGTGGGCTAGTTATCAACCAGGATCGGTTCGACATTATCAAAGAGCGCTTGACGCGGGCATTCCGCAATGCCGAGTACCAACAGCCTTACTACCAGGTCGGAGATTACACTCGCTATCTTCTTGCCGAGCGCAGCTGGGTCAACGAGCAGTATCTTGAAGAGCTGGAGCATGTTGAGAGTGATGACGTGGTCAACTTCTTCCCCCAGTTGCTTGAGCAGACCCACATCGAAGTCCTGGCCCATGGAAACCTGTACAAGGAGGATGCCCTGCGTATGACGGACTCTGTTGAGAAGATCTTGGGGGGGCCGTCCTCTGCCTCCGTCGCAGTGGTACTTGCGCCGCAATATGACCTTGCCGCCCGGTGCCAACTACGTGTACCCCCGGTCGCTTAAGGATCCGGCTAACGTCAATCACTGTATTGAGTACTACCTCTATATCGGCCTCTTCTCTGATGATGTTCTGCGGTCGAAGCTTCAGCTGTTCGCGCAGCTGACTGACGAACCTGCATTCGACCAGCTCCGCAGCAAGGAACAGCTCGGATATGTGGTGTGGAGCGGCGCACGCTACAACGCCACCACCCTGGGCTACCGGGTCATTATCCAAAGTGAGCGCACGGCACAGTATCTCGAATCGCGCATTGAGGCTTTCCTCCGCGAGTTCGGCCCCATCCTGGAGAAGATGCCAGAAGAAGAATTCGAGGGTCACAAGCGCAGTGTCGTGAACAAGCGCCTGGAGAAACTCAAGAACCTGAGCTCTGAGACTGGCCGGTACTGGTCACATGTCGGATCTGAGTACTTTGATTTCCTGCAGCATGAGACCGACGCGGCCAATGTGCGCACCTTGACCAAGGCGGATCTCGTTGCATTCTACCGGCAATACATCGACCCGTCCTCGGCAACACGCGCCAAGCTTGCCATCCACATGAACGCCAAGTCAGGCGCGCAGGTTGAGGCACCGAAACTAGCTGAACAGAAAACACGACTTGTCGAAGTAGTCGCTAAGCACCTTGAAGCCTCTGACTTGGTAGTGGATTCCGCCCGCTTGGCTACGGCATTTGATGAGGTTGACGCGACAGCGGACAAGTCCCAGGTCATCTTTGCTGTGAAGGGTTTCCTGGCCACCGAGACAGGCCTGTCACAGCAGAAGATCGAGCCTGTGCTTGAGACACTGGACGAGAAGCTCAGTTCACAGTTGAAGGAGCTGGGTCTTGGCTCTAGCAGTGATATTCAGGGTGTGGCTAATGGCAATGGCGAGACTCAAAAGGCTGTTGTTATTACCGACGTGCCTACCTTCAAGGCCAGTTTGCCTGTCAGCACTGGCCCTGTTCCTGTCACGGATCTGAGCGAGTATGAGGATTTTGATGCCAAGCTATGAATAGTATACATGCGGAGTAGGTTGGGTGTTGGGCTGGATGGTTGCATGAATCCGAGAGTTGGGGTGTTTGTCAATTGAAGATATAGTGCAGTTCCAGAGATGGACAATAATCCAACTACTTTCAGACAGGTTTTTGTTATACATGTAGTGTGAGCTAGATCGTAGATGTGTAGAGTAATCCAGAGATATCGAATTTGCCCGGAAGGCGGTCAAGCCGATAAGCGATAAGGGACGATGGATCGGAGCTTTGGGGCCCCGGGGAGCTCTCGCCGTTCTTGATCTCAATAACAACGAGGGCCGTGTCAAAATGGCTACGACTACGCAGGACGTCCCTGTCAGTGGACATCCGTAAGTATTTCCGATAAGATTACGATAACGTTATCGATGCTGCACTTTCCGAATCAATCTGACACGATAGATTCTAGGCCCATTGTCCCCAAGGACTTCACCGCGCAGCAGCCCGAGACTGTCCGCCTTTACCCCCTGTCGAACTATACCTTCGGCACAAAGGAGACCCAACCCGAAGAGGACCCTTCGGTCCTGGCAAGGCTGAAGCGCCTTGAAGAACAGTATCGCCTGCATGGAATGCGACGAACCTGTGAGGGAATCCTGGTGTGTCACGAGCACAACCACCCTCATGTGCTGATGTTGCAGATTGCCAATGCATTCTTTAAGCTGTAAGTTATCACTATGGTTTGCGCATATTCTCAATCCACTGCTAATAGTCCTTAGCCCAGGTGATTATCTGCACCACGAGGACGATGAAATTGAAGGTTTCAAGAAGCGACTGAATGAGCGCCTTGCACCTGTTGGATCTCAGTTCTCCGGCGAAGGTGTTAATGATGACTGGGAAATCAGCGACACTCTTGCGCAATGGTGGCGACCCAACTTTGAGACCTTCATGTACCCATTCCTTCCTGCACATGTCACCCGTCCCAAGGAGTGCAAGAAGTTGTACTTCATCCGCCTCCCAAAGAAGAGTAAGCTCCAACACACCATGATGTATTCCCAGTAAATATTGCTAACACATAACTTATCATAGAGGTTCTCTCGGTCCCAAAGAACATGAAGCTTCTCGCTGTGCCACTGTTCGAGCTGTATGATAACACTGCTCGCTATGGTCCCCAACTTTCCGCCATTCCCCATCTCCTATCGCGATACAACTTCGAGATGGTCGATGAGAACGACAACATTGTTGCCGTGACTCCTGGCACCCCGTTGCCTCCTGGCTACACTATCCCTCCCCGAGTCCTCCTCAGTGGTGATGGTGCAGACGATGGACAGGACACTGGCATGACTGGCGTTGAGGAGGGAATGAAGATCGAATCTCACCAGTAGTGGGGAGTCCTTCCAAGACGAATGAGACGCTAGCCAAGACTACTTTGGGCCTGAGCACCGAGTGTCCCGGCCAAGGTTCTTTGCTGGCAGCAATGATGAACGAGATACGGGTTTGACTGGCATTGAGATCGGGATTTCTTTTCGACACTTCGAGAGAAAAAAAAAAAAGAGGGGAAAATACCAAAAAAAAAAAACCTTCCATTGAAAATGGAATGCAATATGGCCAGTCAAATCAATTTTACGCTTCTAATGATCACACATGTTTAATAATGTCGTAGTTGGATATTACCTCTGCAGCATCTATATATATAGATACGATCACGGGTGAAAGTGAGTGGCTGGAATCTCTTCTACAACGCAACACCTGGGCGCAATGCCAAGCAGAAACCAACCCTACTTCTACCCGACATGCAAAGAGCCCAAAATGTTCATCTTCACGGCACTTGTATCGCATGGGGAAATAACCACTGAAATAAGCCCATCCAATACGAGGCACAGGTAAGCGCTCCACAGCCCTAATCTCCTGCATGGGATACTCCGCTATCTTACTATACAGACCATCCTCCACTCGTCCGGCATTTCTCCGTGGTTACATTCCCGGTGACGAACTCTACAGCTGCATGAATTCCATGTCGATCCCACCGGAATTCCATCGGTCACGCGCGAAATATGCGCCATGAACCGGAGATAGAGCCAAGTCCGGAAACAATTTATCTACGAGAGAATAGGTGCTGTACCCCGCTCGAAGATGTCCCGATTCGTGAAGGGATTTGGGATCTATACGAGTCTGTTTGGATTTACCGAGCATACATAAGGAACCCGCATGGCTACCTCCACGTGTGTGCATACTCGTTGAGAAAGCCTTACTCCGGATATCTTCGTAATGGTTGTTCTTGGCCGGCTTTGTGGTCTCGCTGCTCTTGCAGTGGTGACGGTTGCTGCTCCTTCTCGTCTTGTTCCTCGGGGTATGGATATGCATTTTTTTGTCCATGCCCTCCGGTAACCAACTAACAAGCAATAGATGTGTCGACCGATGTGCTTAATCAATTGACCCGATTCTCTCAATGGGCTGCGGCGTCATACTGCACGAACAATCATGACTCAACCGGGGATGCGTTATCTTGCGAGGAAGACAACTGTCCATTGGTGGAGTCCGCTGACACAATTACTCTATACGAGTTTGATAAGTATGAAATCAACTTGCAAAGTCAGTCACAAACTGTCGACTAATATAGTGACACCTATTAGGACCTGCAGCTATGGCAACGTTGCCGGCTTCCTCGCGGTCGACAAAACAAACAAGCTACTCGTCGTCTCTTTCCGGGGTAGCCGCTCAGTAAGCACTTGGATTGCGAACATCAACTTCGGCTTGACCGATGCCAGCAGTATCTGCAGCGACTGCGAAGCCCACAGCGGGTTCTTGGAGTCCTGGGAGACTGTCGCAGATGATCTGACAGCCAAGATCAAGGCCGCACAGACAACATACCCGGGCTACACTCTTGTCCTGACCGGCCACAGCTTCGGCGCAGCTCTTGCCACGTTGGGAGGTAGTGTGCTTCGGAATGCGGGATATGAACCAAATGTGGTGAGTACCATGTTTCGAAACAAGCCCTTGATGATGGAGTATACTCACGAAACTATAGTATTCCTATGGCCAACCACGTGTGGGCAATGAGGCTCTGGCTAAATACATCACGGAGCAAGGCAGTCTCTGGCGAGTGACGCATCAAGATGACTTGGTGCCTAAGTTGCCACCTGCAAGTGTTGGCTTTAGTCACGCAAGTCCCGAGTACTGGATTACTAGTGACGACGATACAACGGTGACCTCGTCTGATATTGATGTCATTGAGGGCGTGGGCTCGAAGTCTGGAAATGCGGGGACGTTGAACCCGGATGTTGGGGCACATAGCTGGTACTTGGGACCTATTACTGCATGTCAATAGGAGGAATATGATGAATATGATGTATAGGTAGTATGTCCAGGTGGGACAGACGAGATCTACTGGTTAGATGTACATATTTTGGTCACACCAATTCGATATATATAAAACACATCAATATATGTATTAAAATAGTAACATATCTACTCCTAACTACTCTGTAAATAACTTTGATTTTATATATTTTGGCTGTTTTACAACTGTTATAGCTCTGTTCCGTCGTAATTGTGAGCTCGGAGCTCAGCCAAACCACCAGAGCTTGGCTGTGGAGAACTTGAACTTGCGACACGTCGACCTCATGTCTCTGACAATTGCATTCATTACAGCATACTACATGAATTAGTATCTGATTAGTATCCCCCAAGTATATTCGACTCTCGGATTTCTTGAGCTCCCCCCGGGGCCTTGATTTCCCGTTAAGACGGTCTCCACCCCTCAATGACTTGACCACTCGGGCAGTGCCCTCCAGCCCTTCAGCCCTCCATCCAACATGTTGTTCGCTCCCAGCGGGCCTCAGGGCCCCCGACGTCGCAGTCGGATGAAGGCCATCTTCATTACCATCTTCATAGTCCTCGCCCTGTACCTTTTATTCTTTACGAAGTCCTCCGTGAAGACCGAAACAGGCAGCTATGCGCAGACACATGAACAGGGATCGACAAAACAACCAGACGAGCTGGCTCGTCCGGCTGTACGGAGACGCAAGGATATGGTAGTCGCCAGCATGAAAAGCGATGACACGTCATGGCTGTCAGAATACTTTCCCGACTGGACGAAAAGTATCTACGTGGTGGACGACAAGCACGCGCCGTTGACGGTGTCGCGCAACAAAGGCCGGGAATCCATGGTGTATTTGACGTGAGTCCGACATGCGATGTGTGCGTTACATCCTTCTCCTACCCCATACTGACTCGAGCTGTTGAACCAGATACATCATCGACAATTACGATAATCTACCAGACTCAATGCTCTTCATCCACTCCCAACGCTACCAATGGCACAACGACGACCCATACTACGACGGTATCCCGCCGCTCCGAAACTTCCAGATCCCATACCTGCAAGAGCAAGGATATGTCAACCTACGATGTGTTTGGACCCTCGGATGCCCGGTAGAGATCCGTCCTCTCACCGATACGCATCGCAGCAACGTGCACGCCGGCGAATACTTCAAGAATGGATTTATGGAGCTATTCCCTGGGGTTCCTGTCCCGGAAGAGGTAGGCGTGTCATGCTGCGCGCAGTTTGGTGTATCCCGCGCCAAGGTGCTGGAACGGCCGCGCAGCGACTACGAGCGCTTCCGCAAATGGCTGGTGGAAACACCGCTAGAGGATGATTTGAGTGGACGAATTATGGAATATTCATGGCATAGTATGTGGTTTCCCTGCGAACCGCTCAGTTCCGATCGAAAGCTGACATTTTCTCCAGTGATATTTGGAAAGGATCCCGTGCATTGCCCCAATGCGGAGGAATGCTACTGCAAAGTGTTCGGTCTGTGCGATCTGAACTGTCCATGGGAAGGTGGCTGTGATGATCGCTATTCCCTACCACCATTCTCCTCGTTGCCTAAGGGGTGGCCGAATATTGGATGGAAGGGCCAAGCACAAGACCCTTCACATGGATTGCCGGAAACTTGAGTTGCCATCGGGATTGAAAGAAATCAGCCACATAAGCTCCCCTTTCACTACCTCGGGTTAGGCGTCTTGTTCTGCGTATATGCGCACTCAGGTTGCAGTCCTCTAGGCTCTATAAGTGCACGAGGATATCCGTCGCAATTGCGACAGGATTTCCTAAAGATCGATACAATCAAATATATAGCAAATTAGTTACTGGAAGCCGCTTGGAATTTAGAGAATCCAGAATCTCCTGCATAGCTGCATCGCTGCATGACGTACATGAAGAAACACCCAATGCGGAGCCGAGGCTAATTTTATCTCCCCGCATTCAACTTCGACTTCTACAACTTCTCTTTGTCTCCTGTCCTCTTTCTAAAGCCAAAATGCTGATCATCGGGCTCACCGGCTCAATAGCAACGGGCAAGTCAACTGTCTCATCCATCCTCTCTACACCACCCTACTCCCTCCCAATAATCGACGCCGATCTCCTCGCCCGCAAAGTAGTCGAACCCGGCACCGCAGGCTACAAAGCGATCGTCAACTACTTCGGTTCTAGCACACCCGACCTGTTACTGGAAGATGCGCCCACAAACCCGAATGGGAAACCACTGAACCGACCGGCGCTGGGACGGCGCGTCTTTGGTAGCACGGAAGAGCGCAAACGCGACCGACAAGTCCTCAACGGCATCGTCCACCCCGCCGTCCGGTGGGAAGTCTACAAAGCCTTAATCTACCATTACCTGCGTGGCCAATGGGCGGTTGTCCTAGATGTACCGCTCCTCTTCGAGAGCGGAATGGATCTCATCTGCGGAACGGTGATTGTGGTCGGTGTTCACGATCCTGAAATCCAAACTGCGCGGTTGCGCGCCCGCGATGCGCATCTTACAGCTGAGGATGCAGAGAACCGGGTCCGGAGTCAGGGGGATGTGCGGACGAAAGCGACGCAGGCGGAGTTCCGGGGGACGACGACGGGGCGTGGGGTGGTGATTTGGAATGATGCTGATAAGGCGGAGCTGGAGGTTGCGGTTAAGGGGGCCATGGCTAGTATTGCGGCGTCAAGTCCGAGATGGTGGGCATGGGCGTTGTTGGTTGTGCCGCCGGTTGGGGTTGGGGTTGCTGCTTGGAATTTGATTGTGAATTTCGCGACGCAGAAGGGGTGGGAGAAGAAGAAGCAGGAGGAGAAGGCGAAGCTGTGAGGTTTTCGTTTTTGCTTCTTTTCTAGAACTGCCAGACGCTACTTAGGTATCTCTACGTGGTGCCTTTTGCCATGCTCTACGCTTTTATCAGGGCAGAGTCAAGTTTAGACCCAGTGAGGTCCTTAGCAGAGCCTAGGGCCTAGTATATACAATGTACATTGATTATTATTGTTTCGTGTAGAATAACATCCAATTTTCACGTCAGACCCTCGAAATTTACCAAGTCCTTCAGCAAAGGAGAGACAATGTTATCAAAGACACGCTCCACGAATCTTTGCTCATTGCACAGTGAGGTTATGCCAGACCAGTAGAGGCAGCTATGAACGGCTTCTGCATAGTGCGTACCACTTTCCTGGTGCACATTGTCGACAAGCCTTGAGGCAACTCGGAATTTAGTGACCAATGGTTCCTGGTGCTCATCCTCCGGAGTAAAGAATACACTGAGGGATTTCCCAAGTGAAAGTTCCACTAGTGCAAGCCCTAAAGGCAACAGAATATTGTTTTGCACGTTAGGATAGGGCGTCGAGTTGCGAGACTCTCTTCCAGCACTGGGAGGGAGAAGAGGCCACGAGAGATATAGATTGTCCAGCAATACGCTGTAACCGTCGTCCGCAGCAGCCAGATGGACATCGGAACTATCCCATGAGGATTTTAGCCAATTGCCACAGAATTGAACCACACCACATGCTAGGCCGGTAGCGATATGAAGTCGATCACGCCGACCAATTTTTGAAAGGACTTCCTCAAGAGTTTTCTGTGGAACTCCCTTTGGAAGTTTCACTGCTTCCATTGTGTACCGGAAAGAGGTATTCATCTCGTTGGCAATGAAACCAATGGTCTTTTGCTGCCCACTGCGTATTTCGGCAAAATGTAGAGATGAACAAAAATCCTGAATGGGTGGAATAGACGGGGGGTCAAGAGTCATTTCTGATGCTTCCTCTATGAGAGTGGAACCGTTGCACTGGACCCTAGATCTTCCCTGTACTTGATAGAACGTGGGGTTGTCGTAAAGGGAGAGAGTGGCAAGTCCCATAGCCTCTTTGACCTGCATCGGCTTGAAGACCATCTCCGTCCAGGTCAATAGATGATCTGAATTTGTATTGCTCGGGGCCTTGTTGGAGAAGAGCATCCGGAACTGAGACTGGCAGTTTCTGAGAGGATGATCCTCAGCACTCCCTAGAGGATTTGTTTGTAGTTGAAGCTGGACACAGTGTTGCCCTTTACAACTACAACGCCAGTAATTCCCGTCAATGATAGTTTGAAATAGCCCATCAGCATGCTTGCGTGCCTTTTTATATTGTTGTAGAAGGGGACTCCAGGACTGGCGCCTCTTCTTGCTCGCTTCCCGGTGATCGGATTGGTCAATGAGAAGCTTCAGTATTGTGTTTGCCGCGTTGATCTTTGCGAGGAGATCGTCGTAAACCGCTTTGCTAAGGATCTTACGGAATTTCCATAGATCCCAGGTTTCGGGGGCGGACTGAGATGATCCAAGGTGAGTACAACCCGGAATATAGTATAAGAGTAGATGAATAGCCCACTCACGTTCGTCCAATCTCCACCAATATGTAGCTTTCGAGAGAGATATTCCAGTAGGTCCGAGAGAGAAGTCATATTTTGGAAGAACACATCGTAATTTCGGTTCAGCTTTCTGCGGAGACGACTTTGTAGAGCTGCGTTTGCCCATTCTTCGCCTTGTGGGTTGTTGATGAGTTGGTGTATCTCATCTTCGTCGTCGACGACACCTTCGAGGGCTTGTTCTAGTGTATTCAGCAAGATGGTGCGCTGTGTTTTCAGTCCCATCGAATAATCTTTCAAGTCCCGTCGGTATCGCCTTAGAAGCCTGATCTTCTCAATGCCGAGAGCGTAGGCATCGATCTGGTTTATAAGAAGAGGAAGAATAGCGAGGGCGAGACCTGCCGCCTCGATGCCAGTCACCATCCTTTCGTTGTGTTTTCTGTAAGCTGACTTGTCAACCCCTCCATGTACAATGCCCCGCACTATACGGGCCAACCTTCATACTCCAACCACAAAGAGTCAAAAAGGATGGTAACTGTGCCAGACATCGTTCAGAGTTGTATCGTCCAGTTCAGCTCCTTAATTGCTTCGGATGGTCTCACTAAACATGTCCTCGAAGTTCCCCTGCAAGCTTGGAGGGACGAACTCGGTCGATTACGAGTATGGGCAGGCAATGTCGCTCAAGGGACCGGACAATCTTCTTTGGATTATCGCCTGAGGGATGCATCTCACATAAAAGTCCAGATCCTGTCGCTCCTGGGGAGGGTCAAAGAGCTGCTCTTAGACCTCACAGAGGTCCTAGAGGAAGATGCCGATGCTGAGAATCAATATCCATACGCAGGGGCTGAAGGTCCTGGAGACTACCCAGAGAATGACGATAGCATAACGGAGGTTCAGCAGATCCATCAAGGCATCCTCGAAACAATCACCCAGCTCTACCAGATGTCCATGATGATTCGCCAGCCAGTTCGTCACGACCGGCTGTTTGGAACACGCAGAGTGGACGCCGAGCCATTTGTATTCTGGGCTGGGCAGCATGTCTCCAATAAATATCCCCACGCAGATGAGGTAATGATCAATCGACTCAGTTTCATGATGGCGCGACAAAAAGCCATCTTGAAATATCGCGAAAGACACCATGCGAAACGGAGCCAGGGCGTTGATCCAGAAAGTATGGAATCGACTATGCCGCCCGGAACGATTGTTAACGATGCATATAAAGAGACCAATCAACCAGACGATACGGGCTCTGACCTTGGTACATCCGAAACCTCATTCAGTGGCACCTTATTCGAGGGAGTAATCGGAGAGACGAGAACACCACCGATACCCGAAAAAGGGCGCGGGAAAAGCCCGTTCGGATGTCCGTATTGCTTCTACACCATAACTGTTCGGGATGAGCAAGCATGGCTACAGCATGTTCTGTCTGACTTGATGCCTTATGTGTGCGTCTTCCCCGAGTGTTCGACGCCAAATAGGCTATACGGAAGTTGTCAGCAGTGGTACGCTCACATTCAGGAAACGCATCCAATCGCTGATACTTCCTACCAATGCGCCATTTGCAAGCATACACACCTCCCTTCTGTCGGGTTTCAGCAGCATGTCGCTGGGCATTTACAGGAGCTTGCCCTCTTTTACCTGCCACAGGTAACAATGTTTGAGAATGAATACCCAAAACGAGACAAGAAGAGGGAGCGCAGAGTGCGAATTCAGAACAACGCTGGAGGCTGAAGGCCAAGTTAACAAAGGGAAAATTAACGGGAGAGACGGAGGATGAGGAGAAGTTAACGAAGAAAATGTCTGGGGAGGATCCTCGAAAGCCGTGCGGGGTCTCGGAGACGTCCCAGCAGATTGCCCTCAAGGAAGCTGCGGTTGAAGAATGGAAGCTCGAGCAAGAACACATGGAGAAGAAGGAAGAGGAGAATGAGCGTATCCTTAAGAAAAAGAGAGAAGAGAGGGGGGAAACAGAAAAAGAAAAAGAAAAGACTACGTGGACTAAGGTAAGTGACCTCGGGAACTACATCCATCATCGCATGGAGATACTGGAGATACTGGAGACACCAATGTTGACCGTCTTTAGGTCCGTCGTAAACATCTGATGCCAGACACATTGATTGCATATAATTTGCCTTGGGATTGGGATGAGGTTAGTACCATATGAAAAGACATATGGTATATTGTCTAGAGACTAATCTCTGATATAGCACAACACCAACTACATTATCATCAAACAGTGCATAACCGAGGAGTTGCAGGAAGAGCTCTTCGCCCACACTCGACGTATACGCGAGGCAAAACTTGCTCAAACATCCGACCCCATGGCCCTGGCCGGGTTGAAGGTCAATGACCGCAGTAAGGAAAAGATGATGCTGGCCCGGAAGAAGAGCCCTAGTCGTCGATCTTGGATATTTGAATAGAGATGTATTTACTTCGCGTGTAGGGACAAGGGGAAGAGCCAGGTCAAAGGACTATAGTGATTGCAGAGCATTTACCACCACCTGGACAGGTGATGCTGAGAAGGAATTGATTGATAGAACCCCCAGACGCCATACATGCTATGCTAAAACGCCATCAAAACATCCGAGTTGAATATCTCATGAAAAACCACCCGTTTAGCAGCTCTTGCGCTTCTTCTTCTTCTTGTCAGAGGATGGGGCTCCCAACAAAGACCCCCGGCCAGACCCAGATATACTGGTGAGTTCAGACAGCTTCGTCTGTCGTGAGCTTCCTCTTGCTTTGGCTTCTGCCTTGAGTCTGGCCTTTTCCATCATTTTGGTGACCTCTTGGGGATTGGACGGGTTGATTATGCTGTCTTCATCTTCATCCTCATCATCCTCATCGCCCTCCTTCCGTGATGTGGTTTGTGCCTAAGGAAAATGAGTACAAAACATCAAGTGCGAGATAACAGAAAAAATACTGACCTTGCGCTCTTTTCGCTTGAAATTGCCATATGCACGCCGTCCACCGGAGTAGGTATCATCGTCTGCATCCAACGAGTCTGCCGCCAATACCACAGGCTGCTGAGTGGACTGGGGCATCGCAGGGACATCTAGGACCCAGTGTGTCTCACCCGCCTCTGCAGCTGCTCGTGCGACAGCTTGCTGTCGTTTTTCTTCTTCGGCAGCAAGTGCAGCTGCAATCGCATCCATATCTGAGGTACGAGGGCTCTCAGCCTCGGTAGAGAGACGGGGACGCTTGGAATTGTGTGGGCTGTCATCAGATGATGGGCTTTGAGTTTCCTTTGCAGCCGCAGCGCGTCGCATAAACTGGGGTATATTGTTAGTTGCATGGCGGTTAATCAGGAAACTGCATTCATACCTTCATGGTCAATAGGTTTGAAGACATGGTCTTCTCAGGCTTTCCAGCCGGGGAGGAAGAGCCAGACATGATGGGCTGAAAGTGAAATCTCAATGGAAATAAACCCCAAAATTTAAGACAAGAGAAAGAGATGTCAAACGACTTTGACTTGGGCGCAAAATAAAATGACGCGGCAGAAAATCCCAAGTGTAGGGTGGAGCTATCTCGAATCAGCAAGCGGTGACCACCCACCAAACCACACCTCACGGATTATTCAGTGCCGACTTGCACTTGGTCCCTTGCCAACGCTCTTTTTGTCCTCCGTTATAACCAACAACCCCGGGGAAATTTGCCCAGTATGATGTCCTGTGGCCGCAGACTTGTGACCTCTGCGTCGGTCCGCCCGCGCTTCGTTGTCCGCGCATACTCCTCGACCGTGCCCCGTCTGAACGAGAGCCGTCTCCAAGCCAACGACCCGACCCCGCGGAAGCCCACGGCGAATGTCTCTGCAACCAATGCTGAGCCTACCGACACTACTATTGCGGAGGCACCCGAGGTTGGCGAGCGCATCCGGGGCATGCAGGCCCCGAACCGCGCTACCACCTGGGCCTCCAACCAGCAGCCGCGCGAGCAAGCCATGGTTGGTCCTCGCTTCGAGCAGACCATTATGGAGACTCAGGTGCGAATCAATTGAAAACAATAGTGCTTATGCAATTGCCTGTGCAATTGCTGTTGGCACTGCGTACTAAGTGCCTGAGACTGACTTACTCTTTAGCCGCGTCCATATGCCGCTATCGAGCTCATTCACAGACAGCCCGTCCGCTGGACAAAGTCCAAGGTTGTCAGCTGTGACGGTGGTGGTGGTCCTCTCGGCCACCCCAAGGTCTTCATCAACACCGACAAGCCCGAGATCGCTCCCTGCGGATACTGCGGTCTTCCCTTCGTATGTCCATTTATATCCGGCTTCCTACCGGTTCCGGTTGGATATTCGCTAACACCTCTCTAGGCCCATGAACAGCACCGCGCTTACTTGAAGTCCCTGCCCGCCACCAGCTACCCCCTCGAGCCCACCGGTGACGCCGCTGAGGTGAACGAGTCTCAGCGTGTGACAGAGGGTGGCTTTGAGCAGCGATAGACGGCTAGCATGAGATTTCCTTTTATCGGCGTTGCACAATTTGCGTTTTTTTCAATTGGTTTTGGGCCCGAGGCCGTGTACAGAATATCGATGAATGGATCCGCTGCTCTTCGATCGTGTGTGATGATGGTATTGTCCTCAAAATGTGTGTACTACTTCGACTACCTGCATATGATGGTCTCATATAATCTGGGTCATATGTCCGCACTGTCGCCAACCCAAATATGTTTTATCTTGCATCATTTGTAGCCGGGGCATCCTAGATAAATCACAATTGCCCGCGCTCCCTATCCAGTCAAGCCTTCTGTCCCTGGATCGTCGCGACAACCTTGCGACTGTGTCGACTCGTCCGGAACTCCAGGTACCAAATGCCCTGCCATGTTCCCGTTGCCAAGCGACCGTTCGTGATCGGGATATTGACCGATGCGCCAATAAGGGCAGATTTGATGTGAGCCTGTTGGGAAATTAGTCTTTGATTTCGAAGAGAGAGTAAGAAGGGCTGCGGTGCTAGAATATTAAGGCGAACAGAGCAATCTAACCAAGATTCCGAATTCCCCGCTATCTCCAAACACGTACCGGCATATCATCCTCACCCTCGGCAGAGTGACGATACAAATTCCCCTTCTTATCCATAGGCGCAATACGGTCCAGCGCATCGCTCATATCGGCCCGAACATCATCATCCCAGTTTTCGTTCAGTGAAAGTGCACAGCTGGTGTGCTGCACGAACAGATTCAGCATGCCGACTTTGTAGTCGCGGATCTCGGGAACCTCCTGGAGGACATGGTCGGTGATAAGGTAGGAGCCGCGGCTGCGAGGGGGGAGACTGAAAATCTTCTGGGACCAAGACATGGTGTATAGAATATAGAATTGGACGATGTGTTGAGGGAGAATATGAGAATATCGAGGGGCAGAAGAAAATAAGAGAGTTGTGATTGGGTGGGTTCTCTGATGTCATTGGATCTACTTACCTATAGAGTACTCGAGCATCTATAAGGCATCTTGGGCAGGAATTGTAACTGGAAGATATTCTGTTTACCATAAATTTACATATATGTACTATTACCTCGCAAGCTCTAGTATGTAGTAAGTTCGTGCAATATCAACTTCGTCAATTTCCACATCTTTATTCCTAGAAGAATAGTTGTAGCCTTCCCAGCAGTCTCTTTAGATATCTTCGTGTTATATAGTTTGTTAGGTATATAGATAGTAGAGAAGTGTCAAAAAGGCCTATTTCATGAAAGGGAAGTTTCCTATTGAAGCGCAGTAGCGTGCATAACTAATATCTTTCTCAGGTAAAAAATTGGGCTATATATACTTCACCATTGGACAACTTGTGTCGAGATTTGTCTTTCAATGGTGTTCAATTACAACCCGAAATATCTTGCATTCAAATGGCAACTCACATCCCTTTGGCAATCTACCAAAATACTAAGCATCTGCATCATAAGGTAGCAGATACTGCTCATCCTCAAATAACTCCACGAGATGGTATCGACGATGCGCCGTGAAGAGCATAGTCATTCCCTGGATGAAATCCTTCACTACAGCGAGGAGCAATGGACTATTACGAAGCTGTTTATAAGCGGACTTTAGGACCTACAGTCAATATTTAGTAACCTGATCAATTGCAACCCGTCCACGGGTGGACATATTAACAGCTGAAACTTACACCAGGCGTATAGTTCGTCAGATACTGCAAGATATCCAAATGCTGGACATGATGCGTGTCGGCCAAATTCGCGATGAAAAGGCCCTGTTCATCACCGACACAGAATTCCTTGTAATAAGACAGGATATCATTGGTGAAATCAATGGCAAGCACCAGTTCTAGGGCGACGGGGAAATATTGCATCACGTATTCCTCCTCAGGAAAGACGGAATTGGGAAAGAGCAAATGGAGCAAAATCTCTGCGCCCCCGATCTTAGTTCGCAAGTACATCGGCATAAGGCGTGAATCCGATGAAGGCTTGAAATTGGACTGGCTGGCCTTGTACATCTTGAACTCGACGACTGTGCCATTGGTATAATCAAGCATGCTTTTAGTTATCACCGAGTGACAATATGGACCGTAATAATGAGATAGGTTGCGAAGGTGAGAGTCCAACCCAGTGAAGAGAGGATGTCGATGGGGTTGATTCAGGATAAACCTAAGGTATATCAGCATATAGTTAGATACTTATAATGAGGTTAAGCTGGAGACTCGCTTTTGACCAAATGCTTCAAGATCCTCTAGAAATTCCACCGCCACGTCATCCAGTAGAAACATATACATGAATTGGATGGCAGCGAGCACCCTCACCTGGAAGGGAAGACTCCTGTACCCGTGATATGCAGTATCCACAGAAGGGTCGAGAGTTTTTTGGATAGATTTCTCAATCTTCTCTCCGAGGTCCAGACTTTTGAAGTGCTGCCAAACAGCGACTTTCATCTCATGGTCTTTGTTGATGCGAATGCTGCGATCAAAGCCGATATCCTCAAGAAAGGTCCTGATCAAAGACTTGATTCGATCAGCTTCAACCTTGTCATCTTGAGCGTTTCCCGAATCAACATGTGTTTCGGTACCAGTGGATTTTGCCTGGAATCCATGATAGACGAATTGGGTTTCTGCCCGAAGAGTGTCCATATTGAATAACAAAAGAGAAAGAAGCAAGGGAAACTGAGTCGAATATACTATTGCGACAAGATAGTATGCAGACAAGTTTGGGAAAGTCTTTTATATAGCTTTGGTTAGCATCCTATTCGGCCCTATTCGGCCCTACAATTGTAATTGCAGTGAGAATCTCGTATTTCTCATAGATAAACTTCGTGCGGTAACACAAAGATCTGTGTCGCGCAACGTAGCGTACAGGTTCCTTTGATCTGATTTGATACTATATGGAAGGTATATATGTACTTACCTACCTAGGTAGGTATGTACGGATATATATACGGTAAGAAATGCATACCATGGAGATTATTGCAATACATCTGAACTTTGGATGATAAATGGAACAGTAAAATGTCCGGTGCTCGATCCAAAAATATCGTACACTCCAATCCTTGTGACTGATCAACAAGCCCCTACTATTTTTGGTAGTTTCCCCGTTCTCCTGTCGGTTGCTACTTTTGTCGAACGAGATCTTTAGATCTTTCGAATGACTATGTTGTATAACCCCAACAGATCGGAGATCCCTGCGTATGTTAGATAACCCCTCTTTATTGTAAATGTCTAGGTACTACTTCCGTACTTTCTGTCACAATTGCATTAGATTATTCTCCGCTACTATGGCGGGAATATTTCCCAGCGATGACTTCATCGGCTCTTCCCGAACTTCCCTTACTGACGACAATCGCTTTCTCAGATCATTTCCCACTTGGAGTTTGTTTTTACCTCATAAAATATGAGTTCCTCCGTTGATCCCACCTCTCTGCTAGTGTCTGCAGCAGTCCCGGCATTCAAATGTCCGGCCGGGACAAAGATGCACATTCTGAACTTGGGCACCCTCCAAGAAGATGAATCATGGTTGGTTCGCCGATCGGAGGTCAAGTCGTGATTTTTTGATAACCTTGCATAGGATCCTCCGAGGTTGCAATGCAAGCTCCTTGAACAACCTTAATCCAGTGAACAGACGTCGAGATTTAGTGGTCCTTTCCGCTCTCATCGAGTACCCCGGAGTTGGTCTCATTCTGTACGAGACGGGCTGTGCTGAGAATGTAGACGTGGGTTGTCAGATCGTATCACAATATTCCTTGTGTATAACTAAACTAAATACAGAATTGGCCAGCGCCCATCACGGAGGCCTCTCCGCGAGTTGAGTACTCGGACAACCATAAGCTTCCGAACGCTATCAAGGCTACTGGGAACGACATTAAGGACATAAAAGCAGTCATCATTGGCCATCTGCACTTTGACCATGCGGGGGGGACTTGAGCATTTTGTGAACACAGATGTCCCAATCTATGTCCACGAAGAAGAGCTCAAGCACGCATGCTGGGCGGTAGCAACCGGGGCAGACTTTGGCGTCTATCTAGGACAATATATGCTACTGGAAGAGCTGAAGTGGAACACGTTCACCGGGTCACAACTTGACCTGTTCCAAGGCATAACCTTTCACCATTCACCTGGCCACACACCTGGACTATGCATTATGCAAATCAATCTTTCGAATGATGGACCATTCATTTGGACCTCGGACCAGTTTCACGTTGCAGAAAACTATGAGCTGGGTCATCCCCACGGAGGATTAGCTAGGGATCACAGTGCGTGGTATCGCAGTCTCAACATGATCCGCAGACTTCAAAGACTGTACAATGCCACGTTGATTTTCGGTCATGACACCGAGGTGGCCTACAAGCTCATAAATGCAAAGCCATTTTATGATTGAAGGTCTACATTCCAAGCTTATTGTCAGCCTGCTGCTTAATCAAATGAAGACGTGTTTCCTTTTCGAGCCGATCTTGTTGGATGCCAGCTTGTAGCTTTAGTTTGACCCAGAATGCAAAATAATCAAAAGTAGAGGAAGAAATAAGCTTGATAGTGCTAGAACAGGTATGTCATTGAGTTTCCCTGGAGAAGAAGTCGAATATTGAACGCCTTCCCGAATAGGAAGGTGGGCCCAGTTAACAGCGTCGACCAACCACAAGCATTGTTTTGAACTTTTTTGTATAGAAGTTGGAAAAGAGAAATAGAGACAAAAGATATACTATGCCTAGTATCTAGACTAATAGCTAATTCTGGTTTCTTATCCTTCCCTTGCCTAGTGCGATGAACTCATCTCGGTGATCTGAAGCCTGACATCCTGGGTCGCCCCGTCAGTCGAGACAAGCTGCGCTTCGGTTGCGCTTTCCTCTGGGAATATCTGAGCCGTCAAAGAAACTTCTCCTTGACCACCCAAGACCTCAACGCTAGACCAATCCACAAAGACCTGCAAGTTGATACGTTTATCCGCGCCCGCTGACAATGGTGCGTGATACAAGCTTGCAAATGTCTTGTCGAAAGATACATCTCCTGAGTTTTGCCGATCCACAAACATCTCTTTGCTGGTAAAGTTGTACCCGATGAGTGTTTCTTGCTTGAAGTCAGAGCTGGCACGGATAGCAATCGCAAACGTAGATGCCAGAGTATCATCGGAGTCATGATCAGCAAAGCTCAAGTCGATCTTGAAGGCCTTGCCTGGGGAGTCAAGGCTGGTTGTTCCTTCCGATACAGATTTCCAGGAATGTTTCGACGCGTTGCGGTCGGCAACAGTTCGCCAGCTCTGCTGCGGTTGTTGAAGGAGGGTCACCTTCTCATTAACTGTCTTCAAAGACAACTGACGGGGAACAGACATGGCACTTCGCCAAGGGCTTGTCGGGATCAGTGCACCATACTGCCAGTTGTTCATCCACGCGATCTGGATTACCTCCCCATCAGGAAGTCCGTTATAACTGGCGGCAGCATAAAAGTCCGGACCGAAATCCATCCAGTTGGCAGACTTGTTGTCGGGATAGATGTTATCGGGATCGGCCTTGAAAGTCGTGCCGTCGAAGTCGCCAATAAAGTATTGCGTGCCTGATCCGACTGTGCCAGGTGGGCCACCAGGGTTGAGTCCCAAAACCAATACCCACTTCTTGGTCGATGGGTCTCCTTTGATGGGCATTTGGAACAGATTGGCACATTCCCATACGCCGCCGACAGCATTGTAAGGTCCGAATTCGCTGATGAAAGACCACTCTTTGAGGTTGTCGGAACTGAAGATGAGAATTTTGTGAATTGCTGCCACAACAGTGACGGAGATCCATTTCTGTGTATCATCATGCCAGAACACGAAGGGATCGCGGAAGTTTATGAATTCATCTTCGTACGGAGAAGGCGGGTTGTGAATTACGGGATTCTCGGCGTCATATGTTGTCCAGGTTTCGCCCTCGTCGAGGCTGTAGGCGATTGACTGAGATTGCTGCTCTGCGCGAACATGTTTTCCACTTGGCAGATCTTGAGCAACGGGATACTTTATAAAGAACGGCTGTCAGTCTCTATGAGAGATCCGGTGAAATGGTCAAGCGTACCATAGAAGTATACATCGCGACCAAAGGAACCTTTCCGTCAACTCCGAAGCCACTCGTGTTGTTCACATCTGCTACCGCACTTCCGGTGAAGTACATCTCGGTGACAGTATCGGGATATCCCCGAGCAAGTAGAGCAACAGGGCGCTCGTCCCAATGGATCAGATCTCTACTCGTTGCATGACCCCATGACATATTGCCCCATTCGATACCACCAGGGTTATATTGGAAGAAAAGATGGTAGGTGCCGTTGTGATACAACAGTCCACTAGGATCGTTCATCCAGTTTTCCTTAGGGGAGAAATGGTATTGAGGACGATAGGGCTCGGTATAGCCCAGGCCGGATGCCGTCCCGGCGAGAAGGCCGAGGGCCATTGTGAGGAACATGACCATATTGGAATTCGATGAAAGTCTCTATGCAAAGAAAACCTATTCTATTCCATCAGGAGATTTTTACAAGAAGATTTATATCTGACAAAATTGCCTAGTCTCGGTACTTACCCCCCATCCCCCATTTTATACTTCTTGGCATTGCCCCATGGGGTTTCCACGTTCTGCAAATCTTCGGGGAAATACAAACTCTCGTCTCCCATATTCTTGCTAGGGCAGCTAAATAATCGGCACGCCCCCGGAGCCAAGTCGCTGAAACTCGGAAGTAATCTCGGAACTCAAGACACTCTATGCCTTATTCGGGCCGTAATCTTCACACCCCGCCCATATCGCGGGGTATGTGCGAGTGAACTATGATGTGATTCACGGGACTACAAAAGTATTTGCTCCACTTCAATGAAGTATAATGAGGGATTTCTGTCATCTACCAGGCCTCTCCGAGTCGGCGACTCCTCGATATTAGAAATCACAACTTGACCGAGGTCACTTGGTGCAATGCGATTGACAGGCACGGAAGTATCCTGCCCCACAGTATTCTTGCAGACCGGTGATGTAATATTTCTCGCAGTGGCATTGGGATATTCCAAGGTTATCCCGGTGTGTCCTTCAGGTCTGAAATGTAGGGCACGGATGCTGGTGTGGGTGTCCGAAGGTTGAGGGCAGAAAGCTAGTGGCATGGACCGGACTGGTGTCGTCCGCACTATCCTTCTGCGGCAACAGCTTGAGCCTGCCATAGCTCTGCTTAATGTTTCCAAATATTGAGCCCATGATCGAGAATAAGTCTCCATTCTCCAATATAGCGTCATCACCAAGTGATATACTATTGAAGCGATTGCAGAATGCATCTAGAACGCAATCAAAGTCAACGGTCGTTCGCGCAACTCGAACATCCCAGTCATGAAGCTGGGGAATCCCCACTGTCAGTCTATAAATGATGAAGATAGCATATGTGATGCCAGACCATTCTGTGTAAGAAAGACTGCCGTATTCAGATGTTGGAATGGAGAGGAAATTTTGAGCAAGCTGTCCCGCTGATTTCAAACAGAGAAAGAGCACTTCCAATTGACTTCGAGATGTAAAAGATGAGGTTGTTGGATCTTTCAAAGAATCCGCCTTTTGTCGCATTTTCGTTGCGGAGACATTGACAAGATCCATCTCGTAGACATGCATTACAGCAACCTCACAAGCCAGGCTCATCCCGTCTAAGGCACATTAGCATCGGTTGCATTGGTTCTTTGATCAAGAAAGCTTACTTGGTTGCTGCCATACGAGAGGAAGTGAGTGCTCCCACTGCTTAAATTCGGCTTGGAAGGATTGGACTTTCATTTCAAGATCTAGGCCATCCATGTGGTCACGTATAGTGTTACCAACAGTTGAAAGACTGTGGTGATTCACCTCGGCCATGTTTTGAAGCTGGACGAGGGGTAAAAGCAATGCGTCCGTTGGATACTCCAATTCTTGACCCAATGATCTCGCACATTCAAGCATATAGCTTTGAAATGGGATACTATTTGGCTTCCTTGTGACCCAGCCGATGCTAATAACGGCTTTAATTAGTACGCTCTCCGTGGGCAATCAAGAAAATAGGATCCAAAGTCGAAGAGCTTTGTTTAGGGAACTACTTACGTCCTCGAGAGATAGAAGCATCCCAAGTATGCTCGGCGGGCTTCTCGGCTAAAGAATTCATCGTGGTTCGCTGAAGGTGTAGAGACTTTGTGATAATGTGTCAATCGAAGTCCTATCTTCCTATTCATTGCCTCGGCAGGTCTCAGGTTCAAACCCATGTCACCAACCATGCCAATTGCGATATGAAGCAGTTGGTTGAACTGTTCTTTCTTGGGGATATAATAAAAGTGATACCTAAAGTATTGGTTAGCAGAGCTGAACCAAGAGTGTTAAATGGGTATAGCTTACTTACCAGGCCAAATACACCAGAATCCCATTCAGGAGATCTAGGCTCCTTTCATTGTGAACCATAATGGCGTGAAGAGCACAGGTTCTAAATTTGTCACCAAGCGACTTTTGTAATTTCTTGTCTGAAGAGGTCGCTGCCGCCAATGCTGCCACTAGAACGAAAGGTCGTTCTTTACACATTGTCAACACAGTGGCGTGACTGGGAACCATGAAAAATGGAAAATATGAGGTCATGGTGCGAAACCGACTGAGGAATCCATCAGCAGCATCAAGAGACAGACCACATTCAAGCAGTAGCTCAGGGCACGATACGCCACTGATTTTAGGATAGCCATCCCACTTATAGGGAGGCCAATCGAGCGGGTTTAAATTTGTGCTGTTATCATGGCTGCTACTGGGCGTGGAATCTTGTACCCCATGGCCAGAAGACGAACTATAGGTAGACAAGCCATTTTCCAAAAACTCCACCTCGCGCTGCGAAGGCCCTTGCCCGTGGGTCAGTTGAGTCTGGCTAGCGAAAGCAACCAGGCTATCGACCTTCGACTCCAGCGCACGAATTCGGGCCTTTGAGCTGTGCTTTTGTTTTTGTTGCTGCGGTTGCCGCGGTTGTCGCTCCAGAAATACGCAAGTTCTTTTGGAGTTCGCACACTTTAGACACGTGTCAGGTTGGGAGCTGGGGAGACAGCGGACTTTAAGCGAGCGGCATGTTTCACACGCTTGGGAGGCCTTGCTCTTGACCTTCCGACCCATTAAGTCTATTTCCTAATAGGCAAGAAAAGCAGGGGATGCCAAGGTTGTGGGAGTCCTGAGCTCAGCTCGGAGGAAAACGGCACTGAAAACAACAAAATGAGTCAAAAAGACCCCATACTCATCTGTTGGAGGCTGTTGGGAGGTGAAGTACGGAACGGAACGTGCAGTTTGTACCTCCGATCCGCGATTTGACTAAGCCGCAATTAAGGTGTCCGGGTCTGACCTGTCGACCCGTGGACCAGTGAGCGGATCCATGGATCGGAAGAAGTACAATTCTACTTCCGTTCCGCGATATATCAAAGAGTTGGAGATGGTGAAGAATCATTGGGGTGGATGTTGTTTCAATGCATTTAAAGAGTCGGTCTCATGGCCACTTTTTTTTCTCTAGATTTTCCTCATCTCTCATCTCTACTACCATCTTCTGTCAAGCAATCCACCCACCATGGCACCCATCCAGTTTGGTATCATCATGATACCATTTCAACTCACGGACGTTGCAGGACCCATGGATGTCCTATCCAGCTCCTCTATCCCTTATCTTAGGGGATTTGGCAATCCCGGCATAGCTGAACGCGGTGTCGATATCGAATTCCACTATATCGGCGAGGAAATGGAACCTGTAGTTCATGACGCAGGTTTCAGATCCCTGCCTACAACCACCATATCTACGTGTCAGAGGCTTGACTATCTCCTAATTGGAGGACCTTCGCCAAACTATCTCAGAGCGATCCCGCCGGCGATAGCAAGCTTTGTACGCGAACGAGCCGATGAAGTCAAAATCGTATTCACCACTTGCACTGGTGGAATCTTTGCATCCGCACTGGGTCTCCTGGATGGCCGGAACGCCACGACAAACCACGAAGCCATGGCACTTGCGAGGGAACTTGGACCAAATGTCAAGTGGACGGCAGAAAAGAATTGGGTCGTTGACGGCAAATTCTGGACTGCCGGTGGTGCATGCGCCGGCATGGACATGATGGCTCATTGGGTCATGGAGAATTACGGCAGGGACATAGCCGAAGCCGGGTTTGCAGCTCTTGCTTATGAGCCGCGTGATGTGGATGGAAAGCAGGTTATCTTGAGCAGACATGTTACAAAGTGATCGAGTCGCAGTTATCTGGAGAGCAAGCGAATCGGAATGTCAGAGTTGTGGCGAACACGTTGGAAGATCTGGAATGCCAAAGCTATAGTTAGTGTGCTGTTCTTTCTTTCCCGCATTCTTCCAAGGTTAATGCATAAATTGACTAGAAGCGAGCCAAGCCTGGCAATCTATCCCTAGCTACATAAATTGCAGTAATGGTGATTTTAAGGTTGGGCCATAAATTACTCCCAGCCCTGGGATAAAATAACCCAAATGGCTCCTATTCAGCTTGGCGACTGGGATAATCTACAGCACACACGTGCGGGATATCTCGGGGTTCCGAGGCTAGCGTAAGACCCGCATGCCACGATGTGACCCTTAGCAGCTCATTGCCTCATTTAGAAATAAGTCCCTAGGACTCCTTAGTCTTGTGATATCCTCAGCTATGCGGTTGTCTCCAACTATGTATTTAATGAGATATTAGCACCACCTCAAAATGTCGAATCACTGCCGCAATCCTATTACATTCAAGCAAGTCCAACCATGCACTTAAAGCTGGGAGCTAGCTTGGCAGTCCTGATCGCCAGCCATGTGTCAGCTCTCTCACAGATAACAGATGATGAGATGGGTTCACTGCTCGATGCAGGCGGCGTAGATCTAGCAGACCGCTACGCGCCCATGTGGTTCTTTGGCCAAGCCCTAAATCAGCCACCCTGCTATCCAACCTGGGCATATGGCGGTTCACCAAACACAGAAGATGTCTATGATGACGCCCACAAGACACCGGGTGCGCCGCAGTGTGACTACCCAGACGTCGGGTGCAGTTGCCGCAATCCTGGTGTTGATGCTGGAAATCCAGGACCTACATTTCCCGTTTATTATACATACCAAAAATGCAGTGATACCGAGGTGCGCGTCGTGTATAATCTCTTCTACGAGAAAGACGGCGCAGAGTTTGTTGGAATCGACACTGGACATGACTAGTAGGTGGTCCTTTCTTCGGCGTACTGAATACCGCTCTTTCAACCTATTTCTAACATCCGTTCCAGCGACTGGGAGCGAGTAGTAATCATCCACTCTCGGGATGACAGCAACATGTGGGCGCCATCCCGCGCCCTGCTGTCTGCGCATAGCGGGTACCACAGCCTAGCCTGGGGGGATATCCAAGACACCCTAACGACTGAGGAAGTCAACGCCGGAAACGCCAAAGAGCCGAACGGAGTACAGAATAACGACCATCCCAAGGTGTATGTGTCGTGGTCGAAGCATGCTCACTTCGATACTCGCAATACCGCGTGGAACGACCCGGCGAGTCAGTCACTGGACAATGCATTCCGGAGCGATGATTGGTGGTACTTTGTCGAGCCACAGTACTATGTAAGTTTATTCGTTTGCAAGCGGAGCAAATACTCATGTTTGGTCAGATCCGAGCCGATGATAGTACAGAGGCCGGTAAAGCTATTGGGGCTGCTGATTGGGGTAGCGCGAGTAGTGACCCTGTGTCGGTGCACTCTGGTGTGTGCGAGGCCTCATAGCGGAATACAAGGTTGAATGGAAGATCATGCATATTCATGTCCAATTACCTATTATACAATCATCAAGTCTTTCAGGTCCCTTTGACCACTCCCTCTTTGACCCCATAATGATACATACCCGTGAAGCTCTGGCTCGAGCGTATCTCGTAATCATTGTTCGACTTCAATTGGAATACCCTCGTCGTTCATCGGGACACTGGAATTCTCCATCCCACTCCACTTGGGGAGACCATCATGGCAATCTGTCATGCGTGAGTTGTAAAAGATATGACATCTAGCAGGATCATTAGTCTGAATTCATGGAGTAGGAGCACACCGCACACATACCTCGGCTTAAAAACCGCCCTCTTCTCTCTTTGCTCCTGGCTAGATCCCTCGACCTCAATCAGTTGAGGGAAGATCAAACACATATTCCGGCCTTCGTCCATGATAGGTGTCCGACAATTGGCACAGGACACCTTGGTAGGCAACATATGTGTCTGATTTCCATGTGTAGTAGAATAAAATGCCAGACCGCTCGCACCATTGGTGAATAACATCTCGTGCTTGTGGAAAATAGCCGACCACTGAACCGGAGCTCCGTGGGTGACCCGGCACACACGACAATGGCAGTATTTGGCATTGAGTGGTTCCTCTCGCTTCAAGAGGTAGGTGATCTTTCCACAGAAACACTTTCCACGCCATTGGATTGGACCGAACTGTTCCCCGGATTTCACCCCATATGGCGGGAGGTGCTTCCAGTGTTCTTCAGGGGTGGACTCTGGGAGAGTGTTCGTTTGTGCCGGGCAGGGAAGAGGATCGCTAAATTTGCGACTTATTTCAGTCATGATGTTTACTTTTGGGAGTATGTGGATTGATGTGAGGTGGTTGAAGTGAGTGTTTTGCTTCTGTCTCTGCCCTTGGAATATATGAGGACCACGATGATGTCAGTCCATGACCAATCATGTATAGATCCAATTCAGGATGAACTGGATGTCCATGACTACCTAGGTAAGTATCTACCTACCTAGGTAGATAATAAATTATCCAATGAATGTCAGGAATTCCAAAATGACGCTGTTGACTTGGTGATGTCATGTGAATTCCCCTTTGAATGTCACCTTGAATTGTCTTTCTCTATAATATTTGACCTGTAAAATGCCATTTAATGTCTCTCAAGTTCTTTCAGAAGATCTTCGCGATATACCTGAATGTGATGGAACCCACTGGACTGAAACGCCCGGGGATGTTTCATATTAGGGGCTGGGGCTGAAGGGGGGCCACGAGACCCTGCATTAACGTGCTTTGTCCCCCGTCATCTCCCCTCTTTTGACATTCACATTCCTTCACCTCCAAGTCAGAAAATGGGTCTTTTTGACAAGCTGCGACGAAGCTCACGGCGAAGCTCACGGCGAAGTAACCGGGAAACCACCGACCCGCCATCGCCCCGCGTTAACGTGTCTGGCCGAGATTACACCCAACAGCTACCTCGGCCAGTATTGACACGCATTTTCTCCTTTGTTTGTCCTCACACCGTCGACAACACATATGGTACCTCCGAGGAATCCGCCAGCGATGGCTGTATGCTGTGCGACATGCGCGACCTGGCGCACTGCACCCTCGTGAACAAGCGGTGGTTTTTGAATGCGCGGGCGCTTCTGTGGGAGACACCCCCGGTCTTTTGCCAAGTGAGAGACTAACACACCTCTGTTTAGTTACACCAACGTCCGAATCGACCCTGTCCATTACTGCGAACTCGAAATCGAATTAGCCGCCAAGCGAAAACGCCGCTCGTTCTTTGACCGCAATGGCGATCCCATCGATGCCCCGCAGGTCCGTCTGGAAATGTTTATGCGAACGGTGCGAGACTCACAGGGGCTAGGAAATATGGTGTTATCGCTCCGAATGCCATACATGACCCGTGAGGCCAACAAAGCCAACGTGGCCCGCACTATCTCCGTTCTTCCTAATCTCCGGTTTGTTGACCTGCCGGTCGGTTTGTACAGCGACGAGCCGTCATGTCTACCCTTGAAACAGGAGTTGATGGCCCGATGCCCTGAGCTGCGTCGCATGGCCTATCGCCAAGGCGCCGAAGGCAGTTTCGCACGTCTACCGGGATCCCAACTATGGATGAATTTGGAGGTGCTGGAGCTATCTGGGGTTCAAATGGAGGCTAGTACTCTGCGCAACGGACTCGCTTCATTCCCCGTCTTCGTGAGCTCACGCTTGAAGACCTTGATTGGCTTGACGATTCTGCATTTGCAGTGAACGTGCCTCTTCCGCCATTCCCGTCCGTTCAGTCTCTTACCCTTCGCAACACCCCTAATGTCACGGCAAGCGGGCTTGCCGTGTTCCTTTCCATACCAGCGAACAAGGCGACTTTGGGAGCTTTGATTTTATCTTCTACTGGCGTTGCCCCGTCGCAACTACATTATATTCTTTCCGCCGCTCCGCGGCTTGAGAGCCTTTCTGTCGTTCAGGAGGTGACTCGCTCGTTCCCCGTGGAGCAGGTACCTCCCATGGCGTCGAAGTCGCTGCATCTCCTACACTATGAACTCACATCTCAACCCGATAATCATGGAATGCCACCAGTGGTATCCTCATACTATACCTACCTTATTTCGTCATTGGTGTCGCGAACCTTACCAGCCCTTCGGGATTTATATGTCCGTGATTCCTCATTCCCTGATACACTGTTGCTCATGCCCCCACCCCGACTCTTCGGCGGTGGTGAAAGTGGGCCCCAGATGCGGGGAGGTCTTTCGCAGCCCCTGAATGTGTACAGCAAGGGTTTGGATGAGTTTGAGTGGAATTTCACCCCGTACGACCCCAGCCCGATGGCCGGACGTCGCGACTCAAGGACGCGCCCCGTGAGCTTCCACGAGGCCCAGCTCAACCGGTCTTGGGGCGGTGATGCTCGCAAGAGCGTGCTTGTCGGGAACGGGTTCGGAGGGTTCCTGGCTGTTCCGGCTGATGAAGAGCGGCCTATGAGTAGTCACGGACACCAAAGGCGGTCGAGTAGACAGGATATATGGCGGTGAGGCTTTTATATATGGAAGGATTCCACTGTGTGGAATGGGCAGTGTCTTGAGATATTTTGCTTTGGGTCAAAAGTGCGTCTAGCGGGAGGACTGCGCTTCATGAAATGATGATTGAGTACATAAGTTCAGGTCTCTAAGGGGAATGTTCAGTTCATTCAAGCGTAATCGGATGTACATGCGTGGCTAATCCGCGGTTTCGCTCTGTTCTGGCCATCCTTCTGGCAGCTGTAAACCGCGCCATACCCACTGCTTCTGGATGTCGCTGTCGGTCATATTACAATAACCGTATGTCCGGCAATAACATTCACGTTGGTCGAGACAATACTGCGCCGGTTTTCCAAAGATCACTGTAAACGGCCGTTAGCAAGAGATCAAGAGCTCAGCGCAAACGAGAGACGCACTATGCCATGAATACTCCAAAATACGCCCACTGATGCCCGCGTCCAAATTCGTATCCATCAGCCACCGCTGCAAACGAACGTAATGCTCAAGACTCTGCTCGTGAATCTTCTTCTTGGATAAAGCAAACTGGCTACAACACGGCGTCCCGACGACCTCCGGGACTTCGGCGCGAGGAAACAACTCCATAAATCGATCGGGATACTCGACCGCGGTGGGATGTCCGCTGTCTTCTGGTCTCTCGCGGAGATAGCGAGCGGGCTCGAGTTCCCTGGGACAGCCTACACTCCATGCGCAGCGCAGATTGACGTAACCGGCCTCTTGGATGAAGTCTAGATTGAGATGGGAGATAGAGATCACGGAGTCGTACAGCGGGTTATCGACATGCCATTGGTAGCGGCCGCCATGCAGGAAGACTGATACTTCAGGAAGGGACCAGTAACGATCAATAATATAGCTGGTTCAGAGAGCAATTAGTATGGCAACAAGTTTGGGATTGAAATAATCCAAAACGTACGTCAGATATACCATAGCCTCATTGCCCTTATTTACCGGGACAGTCAAGCCAACGTCTTTGTGTTTTGCATCAGCGCGATAGATATTCGTCTTCCAGTCTGACAGATGCTCCTCGACCCAGGACATATTGCTAGCCTCCATCGCGGCGAAAACCAACTCCTTCTCAGCGGGTATAAGATCCGGAACGAAGCGATCGTCATCGTCGGCCACAATGATACCCTGAATGGATGTCCAGCCTGTGCGTATATTCGGCGCTCGGTCGAGAATCAGCTGATATGATAGAAGCAGGAATGTCACTGCTAGACCGAGGAAATGAAGACCCGCGACCGTGGTGGGACACTGGCATCGCGGGGGTACACGCAAGCCCGGAGCGGGGAATATAACGACCTCATTGCATTGTATGTATATAAAGGGACAAGGAGGTACAGATATGGACAATAGACAGTAGACAGGTAATGTTCAGGTCCGATGGTAAGAATATATCAGGGCAGGCACTGACGTAGTGGACTGCATTTCCATGGTTACATGAGATATCAACAGTCACTAAATACATGTACAAAGGTACATAAAACCCTTGGAAGGTACGAATAGCACGAATGACAATGATTCAATTGTGTATCCACAGTTATTTCAAGATCTGCAACTTAGGGCTGACGGGACTAATACTGCAAGCGGATATCCCGAGTCGAATGGTTTCAGTATATCGATGTATGCTACCACATAGTACTACATACTCTTGCAGTATGTACTGACATTACCTCACTGATTCTGGGATAATCGAATATTGGAAACAAGTCAATTGGATAAACCAACGCTTTATAAATGACCTCCAGTGCTAGTTGAGGGCAAATCGCCAAGAATGGCTGCCTTCCGCTCCAAGGCTCTATCAAAATCTTAGTCATCCGTCACATGTTACATGTGCCCTGGAATGCACCTTGGATCCACTTTGAGTGGATCATCCATGGATCAATGAACTCAATCTGGTAATTTTTCATGTCCTTACAGTCACTTTAATTGCATACGTATAGAACTACCTAGGTACCTAGGTATCTACATATATCTACTGCATACTATCTATAAGCTATTATAGTACGACGATAGACAATTTATATCTCTTTTTCAGTTTTCAGGATAATTTCATTGCAAACTAACACACGAAAAGACAATTCTATATGCGTAGAAACACAGTAGACAAAAGAAAAAGGAAGAAAGAACGGATACTGCTCAATAGCAATGGTAGCAATGTTAGTAAATAACTCACCTGAGTACATCATATTTAGAGTTCCTCAGTCAAATCAACCACGCTGGCGCGATTCCTCAAATTGTACCGGGTTTGAGTGGAATCTTGCCTCTGACGTGAAGCCGATGTACGGGGCTTGCCTCCTGTAGAAAGGGGCGTGGACTGGGCTGTCTGCCGTTGAGCTGGCATCTGTGCGGAAAGGACCGCTGGCTGGATTGTCTGTTGGACCCTAAGGTTGGAAGCAATAGAGCCTGTATACATCCCCGAGTTCAATGGCTCTGGAAGGAAGTTAATCTCCTGAGGCATATTTACATAGTTATCCATACCCGCGAAAATCGGGTCAATGTACTGGGGTTGAGTCAAGAATGCACTGTCGATAGAATCCTGCAAAGTAAGTCCGGAGGAATTCATATCAGGTAGACCGGCTAGATCAAAGGGGTTTAGGTCTCGTTGGTCTATATCCATATCCATGGGCCCTTCTAGACAGGACGGATCTAAAGACTGTAGGTCCATTGTGTGATCATTAAAGAATTGGGTGAAGTCCATATTATTCAGGTCCTCTCCGGTCCAGTTCATGTCCTGTGTCAATGCAGTCGCATCGGGTTCACCCATAGCATCATCATCCAGCAACACGCTGAAGTCAATACCCGGTTCATCCGTCGCGCTAAATTCCATCATGTGCTCCCAGTCAATAGTATCGAAATCGGCTGGGCCTGTGGAATATTCTTGTGAGAATTGCGCGTTGAGTTGATCCATAGTACATAGAGGGTCGTTAAGGAAACTCAGGTCCTCTGTCTGCTCTGAGGGTGAAATCAGGAAGGTCTGGAGTCTGCTGCACCAAAGCCTGGCTGCTCTGGTTGGATGAGGAGCGTGTCTGCGTGCTGTTCGACGAGGTCTGCGGCGTAACAATAGACCCGGAGAAGGTAGGTACTGGGGAAGGGGTCCATGTAGGTGTGTTAGAAGGTCGCTGGTCATTGAAATCCTTAAACGGCAACGGCTGCAAGTAAGTAACATACTGGTAGTTTGACCGTTTGGGGTCTACTACCTGTGGGGGAAGTGGAGTGTCCATATAGGGATGAAGGGACCTAATGGGCTCTGAGTTGCCCGGGAACCGAATCGTCGGAACTGTGATATCAATAGTATCCAGCCACAGTCCCAGAGCCAGGTCTCTGTCAAACTTAGCACTCTTGCGGCGGAGCTCAGCAAACTCCGACTCGCCAAAAATTCTGACTCTCTTCCCATGCCTGGTGATCTGCTGAGGATTCAGTCGGTAATACCCACAATACCTAAGGACTGCAGGAAGTACCAACTCAGGGCGATAGTCCTTAACGGACTTTAATCCAGTGATCTGAAAGTTGTTGCTTCCGTCAGGGATAGGCTTCCTACTATACACTGCGTGAACAGCATACTGCAAAACGAAAGCAGGAGCAGTATCCAAGAGATCACGGAATCTGCGGAAAGCAATAGCCTGGAGGTCAGTAATTCTAAGAAGAAGAGCAGTTTGAAACATGGACAAGTGAATGCGCAAGAGCTGACAGATCTGGGGACAAGTCACGCAGCCACCAGGGCAGGCCTTAATCGAGTAATAGCTCAAGTCGGCTTCGTCAACCGAATAGTCACCAGTATAAAAGAAATTAAGAAGGCTGTCAACCTGTTCAACACGTACCAAATCAGGAAGAACAAGTTTCTGCTTGTCACCAGTCTTGTGGATTCGCCAGTCAATCCAACGGGTCGACCTGCGAATGACATCCAAGTGCACATCCCAGCCACGTCGGCGGCTGTCTGGGTGTCGCACCTTGAAATCGGGGGTATGGGTCTCGAAGTAACTAAGAAAATGTTAGTATATATCCTTTTTATTGGGGGGGTTTTTCTTTGTCACTTACTCGTCCTGCTCAGCCTGGAGTTGAGCCTTGCGGTTGCCCAGCTCACCCCAACCAAGCCAAACGCGGGGCAGGCCGGCATGAGCGTTGCAGTGATGATGGGCAGGCATGATTGCTGTAAGATAGTCTATGAATGAAATAAGTCAGTTGGTCTGAATGAGTCTGATAGCAGTAGATACTGAGAATGTGATTGTAGAAGTGAAGTGTGATGAAGAATGAGGATTGTGCCGGGACATCGAAGCTCTTAAATACTCGAGAGTGTTATATTTCGACAAAGACATTGATTCTTTGCGATTTTGACAATGCCAATAGAGTCAACAAAGTCAACAAAGTCAACAAAGCCAATAAAGATTCTATAAATACTCGGAATATCAAATGCCAACATATCTTTGTTCTTTGGCTATTCTGCGACACGCAACCCTTGGACTCGAATCAAGCAACGAGTTCTGATTGACTGGATAATATTCCTATTCTTGTTATAGATTGTCCAAACATGGCCATTGTGTTCCTATGTCTCCATTGTCACCAATATCCCGCTGAGTTCTTTGAGTCCTCGTCGGAACATGAACAATACCCTTTGTGCCTTCTATTCTGAGTGTGTCTATCGCAATAACTGCAATACTGTCCACACAGAACCGAGACAATGCTCTTTGACCTATGTTTAACATTTTCCCTTGACCACCAACACTGCCGCATCATGACTCTTCAAGGAGGCCTTGTACTTGTTCTTCACACAGCCCAGATCCTTGCCAGTCCAGGCATCAACAACCTTGTATGCATCATGACTCTTAAGCTCCGGGATCTCGCGCCATGTCGCAGTGCGGGCAGAAGTGACATTCTCGGAGTTCAGCATAAGCACCACAGTGCCCTCCAAAGTGGATGATGCACCGGACCAATATTCAGCAGGGTGAACGGGGTCGAAAGTCCTGTCGGGGTTGTATCCCCACTTATAAGGACGGGCAGGAGTTCCAATAACAGGGTCTTGATTGAAGTCAAGAAGATACTTGTTCTTCAGGATGGCCAAGTGGGCATCGTCGATAGAATCGAGCTATTCATTTGTCAGTATGTCTTGCTATTAGGATAGGATATTCGAAGATATCACATACCGCCGTGCCAATGATCAGAGGGGACTTCATGACGGCCCAGAGTGCAAAGTGCGCCCTGTTCTCCTCGATGGTAAGATCACCATTACCAACCTCCAACATGTCCGGGTCAGCACGACCCCAGAAGTTGACGTGGTCCATGTAGAAGCTGTTCTCATTGGCAATTTGCGCAATACGGGCCCAATCCACTGGATGCAGAGTCAGTAACTAAATCTCCCCACTCCGGTACCAGTCAATCAACTTACCGGTAATATCGCCGGACATGCGCCATGAGTTTCCGACTTCCATGCCCCAGGAATTCACGTTAGCCTGGCCCCAGCCACAGAGTGAATAGAAGATGGTCCGGTCAACGTCGAGCAGTGCATCGCGCATTGCAGCATACCGCTTGTATGTGTTGGACGTTTTCCAGTCATATCCTTCTGGGGCGGCGTTGGTGAGATCAGGACAGGTGCCATCCGGGTAAGGGCCATCGCCGTCGGGGACACAGTAAGTATATTCATCTGTCCAGTTACTGGGAACACCACAATTGTCATATTTGAGGTCTGCAGGTGTCAGTGTTTGGCAGAGACAGATTAACAGGAATAGAATAGAACGTACAGTCAATACCCCACTCAGCAAAGGACTGCGCATCGACTGCCTCGTATCCCAGACTAGCAGGATAGTGAGCGCAGGTCTCCTCGCCAGCACCTAGCAGATATATCAGATATGAGTTTTAATCAGAACGGAGAGGGAGGAGGTTACTAACTGCTGTAGATTCCGATTTTCAGTCCCAAATCATGGACTTCCTTTGCAACACCAGAAATACCATCGGGGAACTTGGCTGGATCAGGAATCATGCGATTGGTACTCTTGTCGCGGGTGTTCTTGACGCTCCAGCAGTCATCGACTAGGAAGGGTTAACAATTCGAACCATTGCTTTATCCAGGTTCAGTCCATACTATTGATATACTCATATCCTAGATCCTTCAGTCCACGATTGATGACCTCATTGGCCGCGGTGATGATCTTGGTAGAGTCGATATCACATCCGAATGCATTCCAGGTATTCCATCCTAGAGCAGGCAATTTGCCCTATTTTGGGTCAGTATCCCTGTGATGACTTGTTCGGGAGTGGCTAGGAAGAAAAGAACATACAACATCATTCTCCCTAACCAGAGCATTTGCTGCTGGTAGGAAGGGCAAGGCAACGGCGAAAGTCAATGGTCCTAGCATGTCTTCGAATTGGACTTTGCTTCTTTTCTGTGTCGAGTGAGTAGATCCTGCAATCCTGCGGACCTTTATATAACCCCATACCCCAGACTTGCGGGGAATAATTACTAGATTAGAAATAAACTAGCAATATGGACCGTCCCGGTGAGACGGTAGTTATTACTTGCAGAAACAGGTAGGATTGGTAGATGTTTTCTGTACGGGGTACTCCGGACACTGTGCATAAACATACCTTTAGGTATTTTCCGGCAATGAGGTCTCAGTATCACCTCCCAATATTCCCAATTAGGCTTGACGGGGACGGAGACGGAGAAGAGGACGGAGGCGGGGGGACGGGGAAAGGGAGAAGAACCAGTGGGGAAGCAGAATAAACACCTGCATAGGTAGAACCTGTCAAATAGCAGAAAAGGCGCATTTGGACGCAGATCAGGCTGGGAAAAGGGAATCATGAGAGAATACTACATCATACATGAAAGGAAGAAAGGAAACTCTTTAACTCTAACAACCATCATGATACATATCTATCGTAAAATCATTAGTCGTACAATATACACCATGCTTCCACCCAAATGCATATTAAAAAGAAGTACGCTTCACTTCGAAAAGAGAGAGACGATTATGCAGGCTATTGCTTTCCCAATATCAAGGCACGGGCCTGACGGGGATCTGTGCCGAGAACAGTAATGAGATACTCGATGCTAGCTTCGGAAGCCAAGCGGCGCTTCTCATCATTGAACTCCTTGTTGCACGCCTCCCACGCTGCGTTCCGTTCTTGATTTAGGATGGTCTTAGCACGGATCTTAAATGCCGCACTGACCGGCCGGTGGTCGGAGGCGCGGACCTCATGTCGCCGATAATCGAGTTGCTTGACGCGGCCCAGGCCACGGTAGAGGATGCGGTCGCACCAGGCGGGAGAGCGTTTCTTGTCACTAGAGTCGTAATCGTCCGTGCCGACATCGTACTTGTAGGTCGGGGCGAAGGTAATGGGTGACTCGGTGAAAGCACGCAGGCGGAAGCCGGGGTTCTTCCGCCGGGAAGCGAGTAGCTGGTCTCGATCCAGGAGTTTCGGTAGGTTGCTCTGGCGAACTGCGTCGATGATCACATTACGAGGAATTGCATCGATTCGGTAGTTCAGGTCTCCGTTCAGAATGCACACTTCATGGTCCATGATCATTGAGCCATCGCCACCACTGGTGAACTGATCTGTCCGCAGGGTCATGCTATTTTCCACAGGCAGGGATTCGGCCTCTAAGATAGCAGCAATATCGTTGTTTCGGTTTGCCGTCTGAGTCTGGCCGGCCGCCAAATGGCAGTTTACAAAGCATATCGAGCTGTCGTCCAGGACGAAGCGCAAGACAAGGGCACCCTACTGCAATTAGAGAAAAGCCATAGCAAAGACCGTGGGCATCACAAACCTTGTTCCCATGTAAACCGCCCATCCCGCGCTTAATCTCCGAAGCATTGACGTTTTTGATATTATGGCGTTCCTTGTGTTTGACGAAAACGCAAGTAAACAGTCCGACCATGTTCGCAGTATGCAAAAGAACGTAGGATTCCTCGAGAGGCATGCATTCGTGAAGAGAACGGGAAAGATGATCGATCCACACTCGATACTGACGACTCATGTGTTCCTTCTCACCGTTCTCTTTCTTTTTACTGCCAAGCAGCAAGCTCTCTGTGGCGACATCAGCGAAAATTCTCGTTCAAAAGAAAAAGAATGTGTGTCTTACTAGCTGTGATCTTCTTATTCTCGAGATCAACCAACTCCTGGAACCCAAATACCACGATCTCCGGTGGGTCTTCGGGGTGACTGCATTTCGGATGAAATCCGACGTTCGAACACTGCCAGGGGTAGCAGCTCCAGCATTCCAAGTCAAGACAACAGCCTTGATTTCTCGGAAGTTGCAGAACTCCACGTCTCTGGCCTGCATCCGCGCATCTACTATATATTAGTGGAATTCACCAACGGACGAAACCAATATTTGACTTACCTAACCAGTCATCCTCGAGCATTCCGTCCCAGAGGCGAATGCAATTATCAGTGCCGAGCGAGGTCACCTGCAGGCGGTTCATGGTCCATACGCTGCTCATGTCTAACACGAAGCTAGATACAGGACTATCATGGGCACGCCAGTCTTTCTTCACGGTCCAGGGGTTGGTGGACACATCGTAGACGTAGATCATTCCGGTTTTATACGCAGCCCAAAGATAGTCTCCGACAAATCCAAGGCAGTTGATTTTATACACACTGACGTTGACCACCGCCAAGCAAGTAAAATCGGCTGACGAGTACACAGTAACCTTGCCGTCTGCGTGTCCCAGATATACCCGGCCTCCATCCCGCGTGGTATAGGAACCTGAAGTCACGTCGCCCGAGTGTTGAAGACCGAGAGGTCGTTTGAAGACCTTGAACGGGACATCATCCTTTGCGCTGGGGCGATACACATGGACATCTTTTCCTGCTGCGAGCCACAACTTGTCATCAACTACCATGGAGAATGTATGGCCTCGGGCTACACGTTCGGAGGGGCTGTGGTAGCTGTATTGCAAGTTGGGTGTGCCTGTCTCGTCTGGTAACCAAACAAGTAGTCGGCCTTCGTCATCAAGTGTCCACATCTCTTTCTTGTGTCGTAAAATTTGAATGATTTCTCGGCGAGAGGGGTATGCGCGGGTGGCCACGATGGATTGGCTCGGGATATCAACTTCGTGGAGATCTCCAGCGCTGGTACCAAGCCAGATACGCTCGCCCTCATCTTCAAGACCTTTCCCTGGTTTGAAAGCAAGAGACAAACTCTTCACGGTCTCGCCATGACTGAGACTCATCACTTGGTCACCAGTTGTAAGATCCCACACCCGAGTCAAATACCCAGTCGTGCACACATACTTGCCACACACGGCCAGTAAGCGGGTATCATACTTCGTTAGAATATCTTTCGGTCCAGTTTTGAAGCGTGGGGGGTCGACGGTTAGCTTTCGAGGCGTCGGGATAGTCAGTCCGTGAGATAGTTGGCTCTTCAGCCTGCTCGTCTTCCTCCGTGTCGGTACGCACGACGCGCCGCTCAGGGAGAGAAGAAGACAGGTGAGATTCACGAGGTAGAGAGGGTTGGCGCTGGATCGGTTTGGGCGCTGAGGATTCGCTAACACGCGGGAAAGAAGGCGCGGATCTGGCAAGAGGCGTCAGCTGCGCAGGGCTGCTTATATGCCTGGGAGACTCTCGCGCGGGAGAGACTCCGCTACGGCGAGAAGCCCCCAAAGGTCGAGGGGGAAGCCCTGGGCGGTCGTAGGGAATATCACTGGCTCGAGATCTCTGCGCCGAAAGAGGGGTAGCACTGGCAGAAGAGATAGGAGCATCTACGGGAGCAGATGGAATCTGCACCATCAAGGGCTTGGAGGCCCGTGAGGGCTCTGGACCAGGAGGGATCCTCGAGAATCCCATCTCTCTAGCGTCACGCCTGGCGTTCGCAGACGGAACAGGTGATCGCTCGTCGAATGAACGTCGAGTCGGTGGCTCTGTCGTTGGCCGAGCTGGTGCTGGCTTAGCAATGCTCTTCCCAGTAGATGGGGGCTTAGCGATATTCTTCTCCGGGCTACCAGGAGGGGTGCTAAAAGGTGAAACACTTCGATCGGGTGATGCTCGTCCTGGTGGAGGATTCAACGAGCTGCTATCCGGGTGAGAGAACATAGCCGGTTTCGCCGGGATTTTGGGCTTTGGTGCGCGGTTAGCTGGGGGTGGCAACGAGGCGCTTTTTAATTTCCGGTCCGTCGAGCTCCCAGTGTGATTGACGCGGAGAGATCCAGGCGACACCCGAGGCATCGTATCCTCTGCATTAACGGACGGTCCGAACTTTGGTATCGGGGAGAGCGGGCGAGGCGGTGCCGGCGACACAGACATCGATTCTCGTGGGCGATGGCCTGGACTCCGAGTCTTGCGGCTGTCACCATACGGAGTCGAAACTTCATCACGGTCTTGTACGCGGGGCGGCGATTGGGGCGACTGTACTGTCAAGGTTGGCGGTAGCTGTGGCGATGATCGATGGAAGTTCATAGAGATAGGCCGGCCATATCGTCTACCGGAGAACCCACGATCCCGGGAGTTCTCAGGGTTTGGTCTATCCTCAGCCGGGGTCCATGGGGAATGTGGTCGGGGCAAATCGAGTGAGGCACGGCTGGAGGATCGGAGCTCATCGCTAGGCTCCGGAGTTGCCAGTAAATGGGTTGTAGAAGTGCGCGGGCTAGCAGCTACAGCAGAGGGAGCTCTGCGGTGAGAAAGATTCTCAAAATGAGACAGTAAGGAAGACACCGGTCTCTGTGGCTGCATTCATGTTAGTTCGTTGTGTGCAACAAAACAGTTACGTATGCATACAGTGGGAGGAGCGTCGTCATTGTTGTCCGGCTGTTTCCCCGTGCCCGCCATGGCCATTATCACCGATCCGTCGCCGAGACCAGCTGGATGAATGGATCATAGACTTGGAGATATCTCCCGAGGATCGAACCGTAGCGCGGAGGCAGTAGAGTAGGTGTTGGTGGGTACGGAACTGAGGCTACAGGGATATCGTGGGGCTCGGAGTATGGAGAGATGAGACGACGTAAGCGGCGCAAAGGCCCAGTAACAGAAGACAAAGCTTAGCCGTCAAGAGTTCGAGGGATTCCGAGGGACATCCAGGGGTATAAAAGGGGGTGAAAGGCGAAAGTCGATGAAATGGAGTGGCGGGGAGGAAAGTGGAGGGAATCACGGGAGTTGGCGATCACTTTGTGTCTGCATTTCTTCGGACTTGAGCATCAACATCTCGCACTTGGCCGTCACTTTTCTTTCGCATTTCATAGCCATGTGGTAAGTCCGCTTCTTGCGATATTCTGGAGAATGTTCCTGCTCGAGATCCCTTCAATTCCCCTGGTCCAAAATTCTGATTGCTAATACAATCTCCCCGCTTCGCAGTAAACACATTCTGAACGCCCAAGTGGCCATCCGCTCGCACTGCTGTACGCTCGAATCGACTTCGCAATTGATCACAGGGGATTGACCGAAGGAATCTAGGCCGAAAATGGTTTGACTGCGCCGAATGCCACCAAGAGAGCGAGTCACACATGCTCCAAAAGAGCGCCGAGATGGTACGCCCCTATTCTCCGGTTAGCGCAAGTCCAACAGTCTGACATTCCATGGGGTAGATCTTTGCATGCAAGAAGTGCAAGAAGTGTTTCCGCAAGGACGCTGCTGAGTTCGATGAGACGTATGCAAGGAACGATTCAAAAACCAAGTGGCAGCGAGCTAATTTTGCTTTTAGTGACGAGTACTGCCCACACTGCGATAATCACTTTGTCATTGACGCAATCGAGCCCGAGGCACGACTACATGTAGAGGGTGAAGATGCTCGTATGGACAACCGGTATGTCGAGCAGCCAGGGCCTTCTGATTGACCGGATGCTGACCATATCAAGTATGCTCAAGGACGAGCGTGTTGCGCGCGACAAGGAGCGATCCCTCTTCAATATTAGGGATGTGTCGGACCGCATGGGCTAAACTGTGCACCAGGGGGAAAACGACAATTGGCAGGCGCAATTTCATGATGTTGACGATTTGATGGTTACTGTTTCTTGCGATAGTTCAAGGCAGATGGAAATTCCCTTGCCATCAATACCCTTTTCTGCGTTGGTGTACAATATACGATACGATAGAAACCGGGAGATATGTTTTGAACTTCATGATTTTGGATTCTCGTCCAGGAAAGAGACCCAACGCTACTGTAAATTGAAACAAATCAACGATCCAGTCACCTCTCAGGCTCTGAATCCTTCCAAGTCTATCACTTAATCGGTCGACTCGCCGCCACCCGGCCGGGTGAGGATAGCCGCCGTGGTGGTCCCTGCCCGGGTCTTCTTCTTGGCCGCTTCCTCCTGCTTCTCGGTCTCGATGGTCTTCACGTACGACTCGATCTGGTCATCTGGGAGCATCTCAAGGGTCTTACCGGGCGCCATGATGGCGACCTCGATGTTCTTGGCACCCGTCTGCACAACCTCAAGCAGAGACTTGATGGTCAGTTGGATTGTCTGCTCACGGTCCATGTCATCCTGGTGGTTGCGCTCAAGGAATTCGCGGACTGTCTTGCTGGAACGACCGATGGCGTTCGCTTTCCTGTAACGAGAGAAAAGAGATTAGTTTTCATCCATTAGAAACCCTAGGCTCGAAAAACACCTACCAAGCTGAGTAGATTCCAGACGGCTCGGTCTGATACAGTCGCGGGGTGGAGTCGTTCTTGTCAAATCCAACCACCAGCGTACTGATACCAAATGGACGCACACCACCACTCTGTGTGTATCTCTGCTGCACACCAGCAATATATTTCGTAATATACTCGATGCTGGCGGGGTCTTCGACTGTCAGGCGGTGGGACTGAGCTTCTAAGCGGGCCTTGTCGATAAGGATGCGGGCATCGGCGTTCAGTCCAGCAAAGGCGAGACAGGCGTGCTCATCCACCAGGGCGATCTTGGAGGGGGTAATGCGGGTATCTTGGAGCTTGAGGGCGGAACGCTTTTCACAGCCGAGGACGACGATGTCCTTGCCTTTCACACCAACAGCGCAAGTTCCTAGAATCACCGGTCATCAGCATATCGTGTCTTCCGATGAAGAAATGGGAGCGACGGCAGAAAATGGAGCAGAGAAAGCTGCTAGGGAAACAAATCACGGCGATCTTACCTCGCTTCACAGCCTCCATGGCATATTCAACCTGGAAGACGTGTCCATCGGGACTTGGGATAGGGTTAGAAAACAAAGTCCAGAGCTGAAGTATAGCTTGAAGTCTTCATACCTGAATACTGCGATAGGTTAGCATGTTACAGCTTTCGTCCTGGTCAGGAGCAAAGGGAGCTGGACGTGGGGAGCTAGCTTACCTGAAAGAGCTCGGTCGTACCCGGACATTGTGAATCAAGGGGAAGTGGATGAGTGGTGATTAAAGGTGGCTGTAAATAACTCGTTTAAAGGAAGTAATGAGGTAGAATAAGGGCAATGCAGAGTGTCAAGTAGCTGAGGTCAATTGGGTTGGAGCAATGACGGGTTCCGGGCGGTGGACGCGAAAGCCTACGGCTGCCTCCAAGCGCTTCCACGGTACTTCCGTTAAATATGGTCACACCATAGTAATTCCATGTACCTAGCAGCTGATCTATTTTTCCAGTTTTGCAATAGAAGTGAAGCATACTGTATTGAATTGTTTCTTTGAAGTAGAAAGACTTAAAACAGACTTGAATTCATTTACAAACTACATAGGTTGTTAAGTACACCTATAAGAGGAAAAGTACATATAAAAACACCGATTCTACTAAAATTTTATATAGTCCTAACATGAGACAATGAGAATACATATGAAATATATAGACACAATATGATTCTTTTGCATTCACAGTGCTTCGACCCCGAAGAGATGCTCGATTCGATGCCCAAGCTTCAAAGTAAATCCCCAACACCCCAAACGGAGTCCCAGTATATCCCCACCCAGATCAAGACCGTGAATTCTCCGACGCTTCCCATGAAAGAGTGCAGAAAGGGAGCCAAATATCTAAAATGCAATGCCAAAAGCAGGGCAAACCCAACGCAAATGTGTCCATGCCTGCAGACAATAAACCAGAGATGGGAACATTCAAAAAATACATGCACCACACACCCCTAAAGGGGCTTAATCCCCTTAAAAAACAACCATATAGCGCAAGATGGAAATCACAAATATGGAGGAAAAAAAAAAAAAAAAACAGACCAAAACCCAACGATAAAAAAGCATCACGCAAAAAAGCACAGGGCGGCGAAGGCGAGAGAAAGAAATCCGAAATCTTCGACAACGCTAACCCGCCTGCTCCTTCCAACCCGATGCACCAAAACCGCAGAATCCCTTATACAAATGCGTATCAACGAATATCAACCAACGCAGAAACCCGCCACAATGCAGGGTTGCAATATGGACAACATAAGCGTGAGCGCCCAGTTCGTGAGTGGGGCGTGAAGTAGGTACAACTGAGACCCATATTTAAGCGGGCGACTTGTTGGCACCGGAGCCGTTGCGACGAGAGTGGGCGTCATCGGACACCGTCAGACCACCGAGACCACTCGACAAGAAGGCGAAGGGGTCACTGGGACCATCGGTACCGTAGAAGGCACCGTTCGAAGCGCTGGTGGAGGGAACACCATGGTCCGCACCAGTGAAAGCAGCCTGAGTGGCCGGGTTGGCGAAGGAAGCGGCGGAGTGCGAGGTGCTGGAAGTGCCATAACCCGAGTTCATCTGACCCATGGGAGGGTACGCACCGGGGGTGTTGTTACCGAGACCACCGGAGGGTAGAGCGTAGTTGTTGGGCGGGCCGCCGAACTGCTGGCTGAAACCACCGAATCCGCCGGCGGTGGAGGGGAAAGGAGCAGGGGCAGGAGTGCTGGCCATTGAGTTGGGCCCCATATTGAACTGCGACGGTGGATCCATCGGGGACGGGAATGCCGAATCTGCCACGACGGCAGCGCCCGAGCGAGGGGCACCGCAACGTAGACAGTTGATGTTCTTCGCAAAGTTATGGTAGCCACAACCCTCAGAACCACACTTCCAGTCACCAGCGCGGAAGGGGACAACGCCACCGTTACCACCCATACCACGCGAGTGACCACCACCCATACCGTGACCACCGTGGCCCATGTGAGGAGGCATCATTGATGGCGGGCCGTAGCCGTAGTTTCCGTAATTCATTGGGTCCGGTGCGGCCGCCATGGCGGGGAACGAGCAGCGGAAGCATGCTGTGCGGCGCTGGAAGTTAGAGAAGCCACAAGACGGGCAAGTCCAGTCACCAGGACGGGGGCGGTTCTTGGAGGGCGGGAAAGGAGTGAGGATCTCGGCGGCACGGTCCAGAACCCGGCTGGAAGAGGGAGAGACCTCAATCGCCTTTTCGTTGAGCGCACGGCCGTTCATGCACAGGCTTTCAGCAGCCTAGTAAACAGTTAGCAGGCAGAACATAAGGATAGAAAATGGGAAGTTCTGTATCATAAAACAGCTCAAAACCCAGGATAAAAACTCACCTCCTCGTGGGAAGAGAAGACGGCAAAGCCAGTGCCAGTGGGCTTGTGCTGGTCTGGTGTCCGCAGAGTCCAGAAGGCGATGGGACGACCACCGAACTGGGTGAACCAGCTCTCCAACTCAGACTGAGTGGTATCGTGGGGCAGGCCACTAAGGTGCAGGACCTTGCTCCGTTCCGCCAAAAAGGCCCGAACATCAGCATGAGCATCCATCGGACGAGTGAGGATCTCCGGGTGTTCCTGGGGCGGCTGCGACTTGCGGATCAAGCCACGAAGCACACGGGCGAGAGTGACAGATTCCTCCATGGCCCGGCGGGGCGAAGCGGGGGCCAAAGCTTGCAAGTGGAAAGGAAGGTTGTGCTTAATCGGGGCGGACGACTGAACGG